TTTTGATTTGTTTTTGGTTTTGCCTATTTGGGTTTTGCATGCTGAAATATGCTTTATGCGTCTGGCATGTGGGCGTGGCATTGCCACAACTGCTGCCAAATTCAATTCAATTGTCAACAGCCATAGCAGCAGCAGCCGGGAAAAAAGGCAAATGGGCATCACACACACACGCACACATACGAACACACGTTTAGCTGTGGCCACAAGGACAAACAGGCGGCAGTTTTTGGTTTTAGGCTTAGCTTGTTTCACGCACAACCTGCGTCCCTGCCTCTCGTTATATAATGTGGCATCATTTTGTGGTCAGCATTTATGCAGGACATGTGCATACACTCACACTACACACGCACACGTACAGCTACACAACGTGCACGAAGCGTACAATTTGCAGGCCTTTTGTTGACATTTTGCACCCTTGCACCACCCACTTTATGCGGTCACCCGCACTCACATTTGACTTTTTGTGAGTGGAAGCAATGTGGGGAGTGCATTTAATGCACCAGCAATGGCTGAAGCGGCAACAAAGTCAAAAGTCCTGCCATGAGGTCAGCTGAGCTGCAGTTCATTTAAAATTTCACGTTGCGCATACGCTACGTTGTACGTGGTGCACCGCAAACTTAAAGTTTAACTTTACTTTTTGTTTAATTTTCTTTAACTTACAGCCAAAAGCTGTCCCTGTCTTTGTTGCTGTTATTGCTGCAACTGCTGTCTGTTGCACATACAGCACAATGGCTATAGTTGCGAGGGGGGAAGCGGGTGCGGCTGCTGTGTTAATTGATCGTTATTGTCTTTGGCTGGGCGAGAAAGAATGTGGAGCGACCGGTTGACTTATCGAAGGACGAGGCCATTAGCAGCAACAAAACTGATACCAAGCAGCGCTTTTTGCTGGGGCGTTATTATTATTTCAGTCATTGTTGCCTACGCTTGTTGCTGCTGCTGCCGCTGTGTGTGTGTATGTGGGTGTGTGTGTGTGTGTATGTGTGTGGTTATTACTGCGTTGTAGTTGTTGTTGTTTGTGGTTTGCGGTTGCTGTGGTTTTGCTATTTGCGGCATCTTTGGCTTGTCATGCGATGCTGACGCTGACGACGATGACGATGACAACAATAGCAAAATGTATTTTTTAATTGTACTCTCGGGTAAACATATATCACAGCAACGCACAGCAACAAAACGCACCATGAACTCAACTCAACTCATCTCAACTGAACTGAACTCAACTCAACTCGGGCAGCCAAACTGAGGAAGCGGAAATGACAGTACGACAATGGCGACAACAAGAACGGCAATGGCAATGCCAGCTACAGGATCTAGGAGCCCGAACAACTTCAACTACAGTTTGCCTACTTGAGAGAGCCTGTGGCTGTGCAGCTCACAAATGTGCGCACGGGGAGCCATACACGAGTGACGCTTAATGAAAGCGCAACAGACAACCACAACACACACACAGACACACACCCACACAGACACACACCCACACAGACACACACTTATGCACACACACAGTGCAGAAGCAAAAGCACTGGACCAGAGCAAAGCGCAGAGGGCAGTGAGACAAAAAAATAGAAACCGCACAGAAACAAGCAGCAACAACATAGCAATAATAAAATTGCTGTTAAGTGGGGAATTGAGATGACAGTCTAAATTGCGAGGCCGCCCGTAACATAGATACGGGGGGGCTGCTAAAAAAAACTATAGGTCACAGCCAACAACCATCTAAGTTACTAACCACTTTCAAAGAAAACGCCAACATACTGATTCGAGTCGAGTTTTTGCGTCGCATAAATGAGTGTTTTTTACAGTAAAACAAACAATAAGCGGCTATCAGGAACATGCTGCAGATTGAATACCTTTGTAGATATATGAGTCCATACAAAAGCTATGTTTCCCACCGTTTAAATAATATATGGGGTTACACTAATGTATGATTTCCATATAGGAGCTATATAATTTGGTCCGCGCAATTATAAACAGGCTTCCAGATAGGTTGGAAGATAAGATACCTTGCAAGAAGATTATTCCATACAAAAACTTGTTCCTCGCACAAAGCTATGTATTATACAAGTCCAATATTAATAGGATTTAACTCATATGAAGGGCAGTGAAGCTTGTAAAAGCCAAGCTTAGTCTAGAATTATTGAAAAAACTCATCATTGCAGAGTCTGGTTAAGATATCTTGCAAGCCAGAAGAAGATTGTTCCATACAAAAACCTATTTTTCCAAAGATTTTTTCCTTAGAGCTATTGAGTGAGACTTAGCTAATAAATAGGGAGCGCTTTTAAGTGCCGAGATTAGTCTAGATATCTTGAAAAACATCAAAGTTGCTTAGACAAAAATATAAATTTAACCGATTATTTTCATGGCAGCTATATGACATAGTAGTCGGATTTCATGTTTAACCTGCAACCAAGTATATTAACGGAGCTTAAAGTTAAGTTATGTGACGATTGTCTTAATACAGAGTTTATTTTAACTGGACTGTTGATATTGATCAACAATATATATGTTATTCAGGCGACATCTCCAGCGAAAATCGATAACATCGATAGCAATCATATCACGTTGATTTACATTGCAAGTGCATGCAATTACAAGGCAATTAACATTGCCATTTAACCATGAAGCGCAAACAATACGACCACGATTAATGTGTGAACACACACAGACGCACACACACACACATCCATCACGTTCAGCCATTTATTTATGTTGCTACATTATTTGTGCATGCGTATGTGTGTGTGCGTTCAGGCAAGCTCAAGCTGTTGTCTATTTTGGATAGTTGTCCTTTTGTTTTTGACCGTAAATAATTACAATATTCACTTGCCAAATGTTTTGACTGTCAATTGTGTTTGTCAAATGACGCCTACAACCCTTCACCTAGCCTTATTAATTGTACCATTTCTTGTTGTCCGCCTGGGCATACATATTATGACACTTACCCAACGCTGATGCAATTGTTATAAAACTAATGCAGCCCTATTGAGGAGCTCAACTGCTTGTTGCACGTATTGTTTGTGAGCTTGTGCGCACATTAAGTGCAGTAATTAAATCGTAATACCATTTATTGTTCTTGCTGCTCGTTAAACTGGCAATGGCAATCGAAAGGCCTGTAGCTAAGCCTCTTTAGTTGATTTAGCTTTTTATGTTGTTAATGTTGGGCAACATTTGGCTTAAAATCATCAATTTTGTTGCAATACGTCAAGAAAGCAACTACTTAGAGAAACCTACTTGACTGGGTCGAAGAGTGCTTGATCAAACTAGCTGGCAAAGGAATTATACATCCGTATACTAATGATGATAAGGTTCCTGAGAACAGTTTCAATTTGTGCGAAGAGTTGGTTGGGCAAGCTGCATTCGCTAGTCTCAGCTTTTCACTTGCTCTAGTACTACATGGTAAGCCACATTGGCCAGTCTCAACTATTCATTCCCTCTCCTTTCGGCTTAAGCTCTTGGTATTAACCTTCTCGCTGTATGGTAAGCTGCATTCGCTAGCATCAGCTTTTCACTTGCTCTTCCTTTAGTTATTACTCGCTACTTCAATCTCACCTACTAATCGCTGCTTTTCACTCGCTCTTCTTCTAGCTAATACTGATTAGTCTAACATAATCGCTGATTAGTCTCACGCTCTAATTAATTACTAATTAAAAATTGTTCACTTCCACCTCAATTCTTGATTTGAGGCTTCCATTTTACTCTTAAGAACACTTTCAAGTACGTGCAGCACGTCCATCAAATATTGCATATAGCATATGATTGTTGCATTAGGCACACGCATTACGTATACGCCGTTTGGGCCCGGTTGAGTTTGTTAAATCAAATACACCAAATATGATTTATTTCACGTAAAATAAACAATACCGAGCTCAACAACGTCACAAAAGCTAGCAAGTAGCATGCTCTAGCACACACACACACACACACACACAACGCGCTTACGCAGACACCTTTGTAAGCCGGCAAACAAATACATTTACATATGTGCATTGTTTATATGTGTGTGTGAGTGCTGCTGCTGCTACTGCTGCTGCTGTTTATGTGTACACATTCATTAAAATGTCGAACATCGAAAGTGCCCATTCAGGTTGTTGTTGCCACGGCTACGCCCACTGTATCCGCCACTGCAACGGCAGCTGCATCTGCAAATAATTGTCAGCTTACATGAGCTGAATGGAGCACACAGCACCAACAGCAGAAACAATAACAATAGCAACAACAACAATAACAACAGCAACAGCAACTGCAAAAGTGAAAAAAAAGTCTAGCAACCAAAATGAAACAATCACGTGCTCCATGAAATCTATGGAAGCGTGTATAAATGCACGTGAAAGTGGGATTGCAATGGCACTGGCAATGCTAACGAAGGGTGGTTGGATTGGGCAAAGCAGGCTAAACTAGGAAGGGTATCCTGCTACCGCTCCTCTGCGCCGTCCTGCTGATGCGGATGGGATGCGCTGCGGCGGAAGTCAAACGTTATTTGTAATGAAAACAGGGGCATGTGTTGCATATGTGTGCGTGCGTGTGTGTGGCTAACGATGCCAAAGTATCTCTGACGGTGTGTTTGTGTGTGTGTGTGTCAAAGTTGGTGCATTGCCAACGCACTTCAGCAGGTCAAAGCGAACGACCGGGTTGGAGCTGAAGTGTGGAGAGCAGGGCTCAGAGATATTTGAATTGCGTCAACGAAAAATGCTGCTGCACATGACGCGTGATTTATGTATTTTCGTCAAATGGCAGCAACCGCAGCAGCAACAAAAACATCAACGACAACAACAACAGCAACAACAACACAAGCAAAAGTTGCTGTGACGCTGCCATGAAATGCTAATGATGCCATGCCAGAGATGCTTTCATAACCGTCACGAGTGCGACACTGCCGCATCCTTGCCCCACAATCCACACACACACACATACGAACACACTCCGTTAATATATGCATGTATGTGTCTGCTCATGTCTAATGTCTGTCGTTTTTCTGTGTTTTCCTTCTTTTTTTCCATTTGCAGGATCACAAGCTGAAGCACATGGCTGAGCTGCAGCAATCAGTTGTCACCGATCAGGAGACGCGCCATCAAATTCAGGCACAGATTTTGCAATGGGAGGAAAACCTTGAGCGCCTGCACTGTGAACAGTTCCGACTGCGCTGCTATATGGCCTCGCTCCAGAGCGGCGAGCTGCCCAATCCAAAGGTGAGTTATGCGTACGATTATAACACCCAGCCCCACAACCCTCTCAAGCGCCAAATGGCAAAATGGCAATTGCCGCAATTTGTTTTACCTAACGGAAGCCACAGAAAGTTCACATAACGTGGCTGAGATTGCGTCAATTTGAATTACTTAGCTCCTGCTGCTGACACTCATGCTGATGCTGATGCTGATGCTGATGCTGATGCTGATGGTTCTGGAGCTGCTCTCGTCTCTGTGGTGATAAACTGCGTACCTGAAACTGCTATTCAATGCAAAGTAGTTGTCAAGTGCACAGGATAACAGCAGTCTCTAGGGGGCCAGTAACAGGTGGTACTTGAAACTGAAGGAATAGCAAAAAGAGTTAGAAGTCTATTTAAATCTGATATATTATAAATGCAAAGTGAAGCTAGAGAGTTAAGTCTAGGCAAAACTTGACAACTGGTTCAGTTTAAATTAAATTAAGGGAATTTTAAGTCTTTAAAGACGGACTTGGGATGAATTTCAGGCTTTAAATACAGTCAACTCACGTTCGGTGTACAAGAAACCATATTAAAGACAGACTCAGAGAGTTAGAGAGATTCGAAAGAAGATGGTCATGATTCCAGTAACATTCACATTAATTTTAAGCTGACTTTCGTAATTGCATGTAAATAAAACTAAATATCTAACAAACTATCGCACCCACCTTTAATATTCCTGTAATCAACCACAAGACTTGTAATCTTCTTAAAGCTCACACAATACAACAAGACAGAAGTTGAATAAAAATCACCCAGACCGTAAAATAGAGCGCACTTGTGAAGAATTCGAAACCAGCCATAACGAAGCTTAAAACACAACTCCAGCCACAAAAAGGGCACAGATTATAGCTCTTAGCACAGAGTTTGGGGCCCCGTTGTCTATAATTGGTTTTACCTACTTATATTTAGAGCGGCGGCAACATTGGGCCGAAATTTCGATTGCTCGGACTAGTTGAGAATCCGAAACGTGTACTGTTAATCTGCATAACACAATTTAAGCGCCTTAAATGAGCTGCAGCTTAAAGGGTCAAAGGGCACTCTTGGGGGTAACTTCCAGAGGCAGCACAGGCAACTCGAACTTTGCACTGCATTAAAAAGATTTGCGAGGCCAACCCAACGTAACCCAACGTGATGGGTGACGAAAAGGGTTGCAAGTTAATTGCGCTTTTTATGGCTTGTAGAGAGCACTGGAGAGGGGGATGGGGGGTGTAAAGGGAAAAGGGAAAAGGGGGGCTAGCAGCCAGCAAATGCAGTGCTTTCAACTCAACTACTCGCATAAAGAGCAACCACATTTATTATTAATAACCGCAAAACCCAAACAACTTCAACAGCACCACTTACACGAGAAAGTGCATGCACCGGAGGCTATTTACACAGCACACTCGCAAGCCAAGCATACACACACACACACACACACACACACACACACACACACGCACACACACACACACACGCACAAACACACGCACAAACACTCAGCCAGTTAATGTACTTTGTGTGGTTGTCGGTATGTATTATGAAATTAATTATGTCATATCAGTCAGGTTGACCAAAATGAATCAGTTGCCCAGTAAACGATTTTCCACTTGCTTCTGGCAATTCATCAGATCGCGAGCAGGAGTAGCTAAACATCCCATTTTCAATGGTCCTTGTGGTTTTTCTTGCTTCCGATAACTTTTCATTTACACTCAGCTCTTGCACTTACAACTTATCCGACAAATTTATGGGCTGTATTTTTCTATAGATTATCTAAAATAGTATTATGTGTAACTTTTTATTTTTTTCTACTGCAGTCACTGCTTACACACGTGTCGCGGCCGACGAAGAACACTTTAAATAAATTGGGAGTTTTTACGGTCTCGTCGTTCCATGCCTTCATTTGCGCCCGGTCGCCGTCGCTGCTCAATAATCTGTTGGCTGGACGTGGTGCCACCAAGCGACGACCCCCGATGCTGTCTCGCTCCAATAGCGGCTCCAGTCGCCGCTCCATGCAGGTAAGTTATATATAAAATTGAGCCCACGGCTCGTATACGTAATAAAAGTATATCAATTTTTTGAAACGATTTTATGACGCCTCTGTCTGCTCATTTTTATTGCGTGTGCGTGTGTTTATATGTATGAGTGTGTGTGGGCATGCTTAAATAATTGAATTGTATTTAAGGCAGCGGAAACGGCATTAAAAGCCAAATTGAGCGCTAATGCGCATCCGAACGGCAGAGCTGAATGTGTCACCAGCGTTCCACACAGACTTCTCTAATGTATTTCCACGCTGACCGCTGTCGCGTATTTTTAACATATTGTTGTCCTTCCTTTTTTTTTTTGGTGGTGGTCTGCGCTTCTTTTATAATTTAAATTTAATGGCCATCAGGAATTACAAAAACAAATTTATGAAGCTACCGGAAAAAAACGCCCAATTTTTGTTTTGCTTGGCTGGAAGATTCTTTAGATAGCCATTAGGCAAATGGCAGCAGCAGCGGCAGCAGCAGCAGCAGCGGCAAAAACTAATCCAAAGTTCTGAAAATATTTGCATAAGTTACGTAGTTTGCTTTTCCAAAAGCCAGTTTAATCTCGATAAAGGCAAACACACAAATCACAAATATGTGAAACACTTACAATTTACATTTCACAAATGCAGCTCTTCAACTAAATGCTTTTTATTTGCACTTCATCCCATTCAATAGTCAAATACTCTTTGTATTGAAATTTGGAATTTTAGGTATTTCGTTTATTAGAAGCCAACCACACAAATAGCAATGAAAATAATTGAAATATGCAAAAATAGTATCAAATGCAATGCAATTTGTGCTTAGCCATAAGATTATCACAGCCGCAAATTGCATGAAGTATACGCAGCGTCAAACGCCGGTCATTTTTAAAGGCATTTAAGTGTATTAAACTATAAACTCAATTTGCGGAAATTGATGCTTGAAGTCAAGTTGAAATATGTGTGCATTTTCATACACTGCCAATGGCTATTTTGGCTATGTCATCTAATTTATGGCACACTTAATGCGTGTCTTGTATATTGACAGCAAAATTAAATAGACGACTATGAATGCCAAAAGATAAAGTTGATTTTCCCATTTGCTAAAATACTTGAATTAGTTTGCCATGTTGTTTAGTTCGTTGCATTTATTTAGCAACACGAATTAAGCCCGTTCTTTCAATTTATTATGCGTTTTTTGTTGTTTTATTTATGGACACGTTATGTATTTGATGTTGCTTATTTGATAAACTTCATTTAAAGTTGGCAGTTTTGCATATACTCGCTTTTTTTTTAATATGTGTGGCTTTTCATACACTGCTAGTGGCTATTTTGGCTATGTCATCAAATACGCGTTGCACTTAATGAATGTCATGTACATTGACAACAAATTAAATAGACTATGAATGCCAAAGGGATAATAAAGTCGATATGCTAAAATACTTGAATTAGTTTGACATGTTTTTTAGTTGGTTGCATTTATTTAGCAACACGAATTAAGCGCGTTCTTTCAATTTATTATGCGTTTTTTGTTGTTTTATTTATAGACTCGTTATGTGTTTGATGCTGCTTATTTGATAAACTTCAATTAGAGTTGGCAGTTTTGCATATACTCGTTTTTTTTTTAATGAAATTCATTTCATAAATTCAATTTGTTTCGATTATTGGCAAAATAATCTTGTGCGCAGCACTCGATACACACACACATACACACACACACACACACATATATATATATATACACACACCCCGTGCAGAGGGGCGTGCACACTTCATTTCCAATTAAATTTGCCAACGCTGCACAATTGCAGTCGCCGTTGCCAGTGAAACCAAAAATATTCATGGTAAAAACAAGAACATAAATATATAAATATATATAAAACGTTACTAACGTAAAATGAGACTCTTGGATTTGGCGTTGTAAATGCGGCGCTGAAAATTCATTGAATTTGAAAAATGTGCATTTGATTTGGTTGATATTTTTGCGCAGTCAACTCGATTGAGTATGTGTGCGTGTGCGTGTGCGTGTGTGTGCGTGGCTTTTCATTCTGCCAGCATGTCAGCTGCAATGCAGTTGAAATTGCAATTGAAAATGAAATGAAATCAAATTAAAGGTGTCCGCCAGCGCCGGTGGCAGCGCTCGCAACTGGCAATTATCGAGCAGCGCAAACTCTTTGGAAAATGGCCTTTAAACAATTTTTGTCACGACGCATTTAATTGGCCCATACTAGTTGGCCCGAAGAGAGGTGGCATCACGACGCAAAATTGAATTATGCAACGAAGCGACAACTGAAAATTGACTTGTGCCACACCAACGGCTCAACCTGCGTGCAACTCGTTGTGGCATTAAGCAGCCAAAGTTCATTAATCGACAGTTCAAAGTGCGCCCAGCCACAGGCAACGTGAACTGAAATACAAAATTAAAACAGTTCCTACAAAGTTGCATAATGCTAATGAAAATGAGCGTAGTGCTGGCCAAATGCAGCTGCGATCTAAGAGAAAACTGCGCTGAACTCAATTGAATTGGAAATTATAAAAGTTTGACGTTCATTTGAGACCATAAAATATATATATTCCAGATCAGCTTTAACCGTCAAGTTTAGCTGATTGTAAACGCAAGGCATTCTGTACACTTTTTATATTTTATTTTAAATATTCTCATACGCATGCTATTCAATTTAAAACAAGTCAGAATACTTCAGTCGGGTATAACCGACTGCGAAATACTCAATCAAGCCATACACGATTGTCTGACCAGTTAAATTTGTGTTTTCCCCTTCTATGAAGTTCTTCTTGATCATAGACTGTGGCAGGTATCGATTTTGGAGCTTTGCCGCGCCTTCAATGGATCTAAATATAAAACTCAGCACCATCTGACAGTCGAGCATTGCATAAGCCCAATATACTCCATTTCCTTTTGTAAGCGAGCATGAAAAAAATAAATTGCAATCACAAATTTATTGAATATTTGCCACAGAGATTTTAAAGAGTCTTTTGTATTCCGAATATTTCTTAATTATCAGACATAAAAACAAAAATACTGCGAATTGTTCGCATTTGGTAATTTATCTCCCTCTCCCTCTCTCTCTCTCTCTCTCTCTCTCTCGCTCTGTCTGTTTGTCTCTCTCTCTTTGTGGGAATTTTTAACTTGATTATATTTATAATTTGCAATCTCTGCAGCTGTTGCCTTCGCATTTCACATCACGTTCAAGCCACAACACGAACAACAAAGGACAATATATTACAAATGCCTTCATTTCCTGTATATGAATATAAAGTTGACACCCAAAAATGCAACGCATTGCATATTTATTATTGATTTCGCTGTGTGGCATCAACTGTGCAGCATAATGACTTTGCAAGCGATATATGCCGCAATAAACATATATGCGAATATATATAAATATACGTGCTTATAAGTATGTATATGTATGCAAAAGAAAGATGCCAACGTTGCCCAATTGTTACGTAATGCAAAGATTCCTTTCAGTTGATGCTGCTGCTGCACATGTGGCAAGCCTGACGGATGTGCATGTAAATGTGGCATAGCTGCCGCTGTCGCTGCTGCTGCCTGTTTGTCTCTCTCCCTGTGTATGTATGTGTGTGTGTTTGAGTTTTGTAACTGCCAAACTAATTCAATTGTCGTGCAAGCAGTAAACTGCACACACACCCAACAGTTGATAAGTTAATGTGGTGTGCATGTGTGTGTATGTGTGTACGCATTACACCTGTGTGCGGCTGCCTCGGGGCGCCTGCTGCAGCGGCAATGGCAACGGCAATGCCAGCCAAAGTTATTCAGCCAGCAAAATCCATCGTCGATGGCTGCCAATACAAATGCAATTTTCAGCCGGCAACAACTGGCAGCTGGGCGCCTGATTCGTTTACCAGTTGGCCAAACTGTTCGCTGCAGCACGGCGCCAACTTCAAATCCAGCTGCAGCTTTAGCGTTACCTCCTCCCCTCTGCCTAACCATCTCTCTCACACACACACACACACACACAGAGACGATGATGCCGTTAAGCATTTTAACTGAATTTTCTTCAAAATGGTGTCTGTCAGAGTCCGTTGACTGCCGACTGCCTGCTGGCTGACTGCTGCTGACGTTTTTCATTACACATTTGCTCGGATAGAAATGTGTTTTTGCTATTTTTCAATTTTCACTTCCGTGTGTATGTGCCCCAACAACAACAGCCTTAATGACATTGTGTATGTGCCTGTTTGTGTGTGTGTGTGTGCTCGCCTGGCTCGCCTGTTTATCCAATCGAATTTTCTGCCTTTTTCCAGATGAATTCACGTGACGAGCCGGAAAAAACCTTCAAAGTTGCAATGCCCGACAATGCTTACTCGACAGTTTATCTACGTGACGCGATGTCTGTGGAGGAATTCCTTGCCAGCGCCTGCGCCCGTCGCAACCTCAATCCCATGGAGCACTTTGTGCGCGTCAAGAAGCGACGTGACATGGAGGATCACAATTACTTTGTGCCACATCGCAATGATCTGATTGAAAATTATGTAAGTAACCTATACCAGAAGCCCGCCACAAAGCATGCCCAGGCACACAAACACAGAGACACACGCCTTGTGGGTGTGTGGGTGTGTGTCTGTGTGTGTGGGTGGCAATTTCGATTGAACTTTGAACTTTGCGCATGTGTTTGTTATTTGCTCGAAATTAAGGGCAATTAAGAAGTTAGGTTTTTCTTGTATCGACAAAGGAAACGTGAACCAATTCAAAGGATTAAATACGATTTGTTGCCACAAACGATGTGCAAATGTTTCGGATTTAACAAAGACTTTCGAGCTTTTCTAACTGGCATTAGAATTCAAGTTTAATTACAGTTGCAACTAGAACAAAGCAAAGATTGCATTTGAGTTTAAATACTTTAACAATTGCCTCAAAAAGCACGCAACAATATTATTTCAAATTGGAAACAATTAAACGCAATCAATAACGCAATTATAAATGCAAACGGACGTGTTAAGACACAAAATCCATTTTAATTACACAAATGACACCGTAATCTGAAAAACAATTTAATAACCATTTAAATTAGTGTCAATTTCAATTAATTAAATTGAAAAATTTTATATAATTGTTAATTGTTTGCTAAAAAATTATATTTACTTGCAAGTTCGAAAAGCTTGGCTATTTGATTAATATCAGCTCAGTCTTGTGTAAACCACACACATGTTAGGCCCTCGCAGTTGTCAGCCTTCGAAAATGTGGCCACTTAGCAGACGATTAGTCTAAGGATGCCATTTCTCAAACTTGCCAAGTCAGCCACCACCCGAAGGAAGGAAAGTGCTTCAACAAAACTGCGAACAGAACTCCCTAAAAAAGTTTTTGCTGAACAACAAGCTGTAAATATTGCCAGGTCAAAAGTGCAGCTGTACGAAACTTTTTGGCTGCTCAATAAATTGAGAATTAAAACAACTTTCCGGGGCCAAAATTTATTGGAAGGAGGGAAAAATAAGAAAAAAGGCAACCTTTTTATTTTTAGCTCTTTTGCACTGTGGCTTTTTGGCTAATTTTTGTATTTTGTTTAACCGCAGCTACATAATCACGAATTTGTGGAGGTCTGCATGAAAATACTGTACCAGGTGGAGCTGCAGCGCACCACATTGGAGCAAATGTGGGGCTTCTCGGTGGAAGCGGAGCTGATTGAGAATGCCGAACGGCAGGACGAGCTCTGTTGCTATGTGAGCCGCGTCGAGGACAAAAGTGTCGCCATGCACAATGGTAAGTACTTAAGGGGAATAACACTCAAACTTCTACAGCTGCTTTGCTCAGCTCAATTCAGTGCACTCACTTGCAATTTATGACACAAAATGCCAAATGGCCAATGCCAATGGGCAAACATCATGATTTCCTGTTTCCGGCCAACCAAACAAAAACGTTGCCAGGCCAACTAAGTCTTTGCCAGCCGCAGTTCGCCGACTAAAACAATGTGCGGCCCAATGATGGCAAAGAATATTATCAAGTGGCACGCCCAAGCGTCCTCCCCCCTTCCCATCTCCTCTCACGCCGCTCGCACACTCAATAGTGCTCGGTTGGCATGCGCCTTTTCTGTATAAGAACTGCGCTTCTTTTATATTTAAATGCTTTTCACTTTTATGTCACAAAACTTGAGCAAACTCGCTTTGGTTGCACAGAGGCGAGTCAAGTGGTGCACTGGAGTTGCAGGAGTTGGAATTGAAGCAACTGCAGCCTTTGGAGTGAGCAGCAGTTTGTATAGCAGCTCCTCAGAGCCGGCTACTGCGCCTGCTGCAACTGCTGCATCTTCATAAAAACTCAAAAGTCAGCGCTTGTGACCGAGCAGACATCACGTTGATGATGATGGGTGTGGGTGAATAAAGTGGATGCACCTGTAATGGCAGCCACAGGGCCATAGCGCCCTGTTGAGTCCTTAAAGGGTTTTTGGGCGTCATCTTAGACGTCGTTGCCCGCCCGCCCTTATACCTTGCCAACCTTGTTGTTTTTCTATCACTTAAAATCAACTTAAGTTGGCATTTGCATGCGTCCTGGGCTGGAGCACAGGCGCAGCTAGCGAACTGCAGTCAAGTGCTTGTAGTCGAAATGCCACTCGAGCAGCGCTTTAAATTATGTCGCCTGATGTTGACAGTACCTCACCCCGCCGGTACGCCCCGCCAGGTGTTGGCAGGATAACTGCAACGCTGCACTTGCAAAAGTGATGAACCTGAAAGAAAATTTCGCAGCGGAAACCTCATTAAGCACGTGGAGTGCGAATGTGGCAACCATCGTTGCGACGACAACGACAACGACTATGACGACAACAGCGAATCAAAAGTCCATAAAACAATGTGCACGAAAATCGTTAGTAAAAAGTGAGACATGAACCCGCCCAGCACCCGCAGGCGCCAGGACCTGTCCGCGAATCCTTTAAAAGTTAGCCCTGCCACTGGCGGTTAGTTTATAATTTGCTATAAGTTTTCCTCCCCTTTTTTGTTTGTTTCTAGTTTTTTTTGGTGGCTTGAAACTGCGTTAACAATGCCACTGGACAAGTTTTTGCCAGGGTGTTGAATTTAATGAGCAGCAAATAAAGTGCCGCAGCAAGTGCCAGATTTGCTAATGACTTTACTTGTTTATTTTTCTTACAGTTTTGCAAAATTGCATTTCAATCCAGGTGCAAATTGTTAAATGTAAATGTAAAATTACCCTAAGGCTGTATAGCCATATTTTAAAGAATTTATATTAACCTGCGCCCGAGCAGGAACTTTTGTTGAAATATTTAAAAATATTGTGCTGCATGAAAAATATGACAGCTTTCATTATTATCAGCGCAATATTGTTAACAAAATTGGATTGATAAAATGGCGCCGGGACAGGGAATTGTTTTAATAATTTGCAGTAAATATATGGAAAAATAACTATAAAGTGAAATTATAAGTGCAAAAATAGTCATACATAATATATTTCCCCATACGCAATATAAATACCAAGGCAACCTGAGCAAAGGTGCATACGGCTATAGTTTAAAATATTGTGCTATTATGGAGCATTAAAGAAGACTTAGTAGTAGTTTTCTTAAAATTATGGACCACTTCGAACAGAAACTGATTAAATGGCGGCCAGGCAGGCACTTATTTTTATAATATGCTGCAAATATAATATTTTCGACAAACTTTTTTAAAGACATCATCCACACGCAGGACATAAGTATTAAGCATCGAAACGATCAATAACATATTGCTACAATCTACATGAACACATGCGCACAACACAATGAGAGTGACAATGACAGGATATTATTCAAAGATATCAACAAATATTACATAACACTGCCTAAAATGTTGTTTGAGGGTGTGCCGAATACTGCAATTGAACAACTGCGTGTGGCTGCATAAATTAAGCACTTGAATTTACATGGCCAGTTGGTTGCAACAACTTGAAAGTTGCCGCAAAGTAAGAGTGGGGCACACGTACAATTGATTTAAATGCCTATTAGCAAATGCCAAAGACCAATTTAAGGGCATTTGTTGGTCAGCGCAGGGCAGCTACCAGCCCAATTGTCGCCTTAAACAAAAACAGAGGCAACCACAAATGCAGCAGCAGTAAATGCAAATGCAAATGCTGTGGCAGCCCACTTTTCTTGGGCTAATTGAAACCCCAAAATGTATTTGAGTGCGGGCTGGGGCATTAATGAGCGCGCAAAAGCGTGCCTTAAATCAATACGCGTTGGCTTTAAGTGCAATTTGCCACACACATGCCACATGCCACACGCCACTCTTAACTGGCAACTGGCAGCTCTCGACTGTGACTCAGCGCCTGTTTGCTTGGCTTTTTCCAGTTAACAAACAGACGCAGTCGAGCAGCCATCGAGCGATCCATAATAATGATGGCCACAAATGCAGCAGCAGCAGCAACAACTACTGCTACTAAAGTTGCACCAACTGCTGGCAGCATGTGCACAAAAGTTGCATGCCGCACACTCGAGTGTTGAAAAACAAGCGTGGCAAAGTATTTGGCAAACATGAAATAACAATTTGCTCAAGCCAAGAACAAAGCTGTTGTCAACGCAGCCCCCTACCGCCTCCCAAAAAAAAAGGACAAAGTGCAACAAGGGGAAAAAGAGCAACCGCAAAATAAACAAAATAAATACCAAGTCGAGTAGATATTTGTCTAATGCATATGCTGCCAAAGCCAAAGCCAAATAATCCACACCAAAACGTAACGAAACGTAAACGTAAACGTAACGAATTCCCTGGCAAAAAATAAAAGAATAAGGCAAAATCCATTTGAAATTGTAACAAATGCAAAAATTGTGCATGAGGTGCTGGTGCTGGTGATGCTGCTGCTGCTGCTGCTGCCTGGCAGAAGGTTCAAGGTGCAGCAAACTCTTGCATAAAATACACAACTGTCTGGCAGATAACAACCCACACACTCACACACACATGTGCATATCTGTCGAAGTTGTTGCAGCTGCAACAACACTGATAACGTGCAACAAAACAAAAACGAAGCAGCTGCCTGGTCGAAATAAATGTTGTAGAAAACGCTCACACATACACACACAACACACCCACACACATGAGCTAGAAAAGCTGCAATACATTTGACTGGCAACGTGGCGTATGAACAATGCGAAACCTAGAATGCTGTTGTTATTGTTTTTATCGCTGGCTAAAGACATGGGCGCTTATCTTAACGAAAGATGTCACTGCCTCGCCCACAATTGATGCTGTTACAGTTGCCACATCCAACCCAACCCCCTGTCGCCCACTTCCCTTTGCCACAGCAGCAAGCACAATAACATCGCGCATCTATTAAATTTCTGTTTAGCTCAAGCAAAAACAGAGCTGCATTGTGCGCCTTCTAGCTATGCATCTATTATAAAATAGTTAAGATATAAGAAGAAACGTAACTTGCTTTTAACTCTAGTTTCTGTCTTTATTTCATTGCACAGGCATTATCAAAGGAGACGAAATAATGGTCATCAATGGCGCGATTGTTTCTGATCTAGATATGATGTACTTGGAGAGCGTGCTTCAGGAGGAGCAATCACTCAGCATGATGATGCGGTAAGTTGCGTTAGTCCTTTGTCCTCCTGCCCGTACCTGTCCCTGTCCCCATCCCTGTCTGTTCGTGATTCTGCCTGTCAATTGTCTGTATCTCGCACGTTTCGCAAACATCTGTTGACTTGAATACAAGTGAAGTGCAGAACCCCCAACTCCTTAGCCTGCACACCTTGCCCTGCATTTCTATTTCTATTGACAATACACACAATGCCATTGTCGAATTTCGATATGGTTGCCCATTGTTTAAATAGATATTCCGATTAATTAACTATTTTAGCCGCCAGCGAGCGATTGTTCTACTTACAATGCCATTTATCGTCATACTAGTGCCTCAACTGATCAGTTACAATAGCAATTGGTTACACTCTCATTGTCCATAGATTAACTATTCATCCTTCAGAGTGTCCATATTAAATGCACAGCCAACAAAGTGGCAGCCAGCTCCGTCAAATTTGTGCTTTATTTTGGAATTAACTTTAATACGGTGCAATAACAATTAATGTTTAACCTTAGTTAAGGTTGTGTTGAGGTAGCTTTAGCTATTCATATATTTCAGATTATATATATAAATATATATATATATATATTGAAGAGAAAACATAAAACAATAATGAAAGTAATTGTTGTATTTAACTATGGCTTACACAAATTAAATTACGAACTATGCAACTATGAAAGGAAGGACATGCATGTTACATGAGCATTTTTATAGAGAACATTTCTCAGAAAAATACTTAATTAAATTTTTGTCAAATATTTGAAAAAAAAAAAAGAATATCGTCCGTTGCCGGCCAACTAAACCACTAATAAATATACTGCATTTTTCTGACAGCTCCGGCTTTGTTATGGCACTCGAAAAATCAATTAATTTATTCAAATGGGACCTTATATCACTGGTCCGGTGCTTCTTTTTAGCCAACTCATGTTCAGTATATCTATCTTAAATTTTGATATTGAGCTGTCTTGTAAAATTCGACGCCCGCAACCCCAAAATTGTATCTGCTCCCAATCCCAACCTCTATGGCTGCCCACATGCTCGTTTAATATTAAATACCGCACATATAAAACTTTCAAAATGATGCAAAGAAAAATAAAACAGAAAAACCTCGAAATATGTCAACATGTGACAAGCTTTTGCAAATTTTTGATAAGCAGTTGGCTGAAGCCTCCAACCTATAGACGCATAGACACAACCAGTCACACACGCACACACACTAACAAAAAATTGTTTGGCAACAAATCAAAAATGGGGAAATTTAGCACCAAAAATGGCAGCGACCAACAATTTTGCGAGCTTTCATTATTTCGCTTTTCAATTTTCATGACAAAGTCCAAACAACAAAACTAAAGCCGCAGATGAACAGAAACACGTTGACCACTTCCCTCTATGCAGCAGCAGCAGCTCATGAAGAGTGGGTTTGTTGCGGGCAGCGTTAAAGTAAGGGTAGCATAGATTGGGGTAGGGTAGGGTGTATATTTTGGGTGCTTTTTTGGGCGCTTTTTTCGCTCGGCTGCTGCGACGACGACCCCACTACAGTCGCAGTCGCAGACCCAGGCATTTTGATAGCCTAATTAGCTGCTCTTTATGGCCGCATTGGCTTTTGTGCTAAGCGCTTGCGAGGCAACAAACTGTAGCCCATGCCTAGTAAACAACCCGCTCGTTACCCGTACCCCGTGCCCTGCTCAAATCCCATTCAAATTATGCACGTTGGAGAGCATTTTTCCGCATCTTTTGCCACTGACATAGAAAAAGGTCAGCCAGGTGTTTGCTTTAAAAAGCGGCTGCAAAGCAAACCCAACCAGAACGCAAATTTAATAAAAATTTATGTTAATTTAAAAAAATAAAATAAAAGACAAAGTTTTCATTTTATATGTTTGTTTTACAGCTCCTCACGCACCGAGCCGCCAGATCTAGTAGGCATTATGCGTGTGACGGATGATATGATTGACTCCCTGGTGTGCCCGCCGCCGCCCACAGATCCGCCAGTGATGAGCGAGGAGATGATAACTGGACTGATTGTGCCAGCGCCCGGTTGGAGTAAGTAACAACTACCCCTCCACCCTCCCCCTCTCTCTATACACAAAGCCGTGTAAATACTTTTGGTCTGACTTCAAACTAAAAGTGTGCGTGGAATTTATTTTGTTTACGTCGTTTTTCAACATTTAAAAGCCGCAACACAACATTCATCTACGGCTACAACAAAAGCATACTAATCACGGCAGTTGTTCTCGTTGTTGTTCCTGTTGTTGTGGTTAAGGTGCGGCCTGCCTTTCTCGCTTGCTCTCTCTCTCACTCCCTGTGGGTATGTTTGTGTGTGTACTGTGTCGGCAGCAGCGGAAACGTAAAGCGCATTTCCGGGCGCGCATGCGAATTTCTAAAGTTCATTAAAGTAATTTATATTTTTTGTTAAATGCATGTTGCAAGTGCTTCATCCAACATGCAACAGCAACAACAATTACTTCAATAAGTAGCATGCTAACAGTGTGCGGGAGGAAGAGAGACCGAGAGAAAACGAGAGAGAAAGCCAGAGAGAGAGAGAGAGCGGCAAGGGTGCAGTAAACAGAGTTGTGTGTGTGTGTGGCGGGAGTTGCCTGCCTGTTTGCCGCACGCAGTCGTTTCTTTTTACAGCAACAACTACATAATTACAGGATTACAAACTGCACTCACACACACAACCACACACGCGCATACACACAAGCACACACACACACGCTGCACTGCACTCAAAAAGCCGAAGTGGCTAAGAACACAAAACAATTAAAAACCAACAAACGCAGAAAACAACAACAAGAACAACGCCAACAACAGATGTGTGTATGTGTGTGTGTGTGTGCGTGTGTGTGTATTTTATACACAAAATGAAACATTTTTATGCGGCAAACAATTAAAAGGCACAGCAAACTAAAAAAGAATTAAAATAAAATACACACAACAAGAACCTATATATAAAAAATACTACAAAAAAAGTAGAAAAAAAAGATGTAGCAAAAATTAAACGACTCGCATGCAACTGGCACATGTATTACTTGTGTGTATGCGTTGCGTATTTTGTACCATATTCCCCATTTTGGCACACACATTCGCACACACTCAGTGTGCTGATGAACGGACATTTGTGGCATATGGGTTATGGATATGGCGGCATATGCGACAAAAATCGTTTGCCATTGGGGGTGCAGGGTAGAGCGTATATATACAAGAAAAAACAAAAATCTGGATTACATTTCACTTTGGCAATTAAACAGAGAAAGCAACTTGGGCAACGAAGCAGCAGCAAGAGGCATGCAGCTTGATGTTGAAGCACTTTTAGCTTATTAAATGCACAATTTGATGAAGACTGCAATCAGAGAAGCGCAAGCTGTAGACATGCACAACATGAGCTGGTCAAGAGTTACACAACTTTTATGCTGTGCAAACCAATTAACGAAAGAGCCACAAGTATTGCGGAGTAATCGAAACAATTTTAATTATCATATTTTACCCTGTTTATTCACGAGCCAAGGCACAAAATTTGCTCCCTTTGAAGTGCCTTAAAGTCCCTTGAAGTACTTGTTTCCGAGCAGCTGCATATAATTGAGTGGGTTCAGGGCTGCTCGGTAAGCTAAAAATTGTCGCTGGTTCAGATTACAGTTCGAACAGACTTCCTGTCTTTGAAGTGTGGCTCGTCATCCATCCAGGCTCTGGTTCAAATCTAGTTTTGCTAAAGATTTTGAAAAGTATTAAAGGCAAATCATTTTTAAAGCTATATCGCATTTCGGCTAGGCATTAATACTAAAAACTGCTTTTGCGTACATTTTTATTCTTAGTTATTAACAGAATCGAATTCCAGATTGGCTTGGAGATACTTTATTAATTGGCATAGGATTTTAGTTACATATAAGGTTACATGTAAATCACAAATTTTGAGAATTATTTATATGTATCTCAACTCAATGTCAGCTCGCTTTTCTAAGGCATCCGGCTTGTCTGCTTGCACGTATTCCTTAAAGCATCATCTCTGAATAATCCAGTTGCGCTATCAATAGCTGTCAAAAAGAAAAGCGTCCCAACTGACACTTGCTCACCTGCCCCTAAAGCATTCGATACTTTTAACAGCCTCACGTTTTGAGAACGTCTACCAGCTCAGCACGCGTCATAAAGTTGTTCTCCTTGGCCCCACCGAAAAAAAACATCATAGTTTAAGTAAAGCCACTAAAACTCTAGACTTTATGGGCAATGCACGTTTTCTACTTGTTCGTTTAAATGACTTACAGCAACAACAACAACAACGAACAACGTCTAGAAGTTATTAGCCCAGTCTTGTTGTTGTAGTTGCTGCCTAGCTCTGCCTTGGAGCACTTCGGGCAATTTGTAAAAAGACCACTAGTTGAAATTTATAAGGCGGCAATTTCGATATCTAACACACACGAAAACACACACACACACACACGACTAGCTAGTGTGTGGTGTCAAATTTGAAGCAAAATGTTCATAAAATTTGTTGTAACCAATTTGCATATGGCAGATCGTGGCCAAGGGGACAGCGGTGGCGGCATTCAAGGACATGATTTTTAAACGCTTCCTGGCGCTGCCAAAACTACCACTACATAAACTGACACACACACACACACACGCACACGCATATATATATAAATATGTATTTATATACAGGCATACAGGCATGCTGCTTACATATGTATACATGCCATGTGTATGGCCCATAAATTTTTTTCTTGTTGGTTAAATCTTTGCCGCGCCACCATATTAGTGTATGTGTGTGTGTAAGTGTGTGTGTTGCGTGTCTGCGCCCTCTGCAGGCTCCACCTCTACAATGCCCCTTCGCTCTGCCTCTGTTGTGTGGACTTTGTGGCAAACACATAGCAGCAATAATCATTACAGCTTGTTGTGGCTGTTGTTGTTATTCTGGTTGCTGCTGTTTTTGTTTTTGGCTGCTTGGTGGCTGCTACTGCTGCTGCTGTTGCTGCTGTTCCTGGCTGCTGGCTGCTGGCAGTATTTTTGTTGTTATTACTTTCAGCTTTGTGCTGCCTGGCTGCGTTGTTTTTTTTGTTGCCTTGTTTCTTATTTTTTCTTTTTTTGTTGCTACTTCCTTTTTTGGGCGCCATTTCCGCAAGTATTAAATTCTTGCTGCTTTTTATTGCGCAAACATGGAATTTAAAATTAACAAACAAGCTGCAACAACATAAATAAAATGCTTAATCGAACTTTAAAACTGGCCCCCCGCCAACAGCAGCAACAACAACAACAAAAACAACAACAACAAAACTGCAGGCAGACGATTGCCCAGAGGCCACTGGCAACTAATTATGGGCCAGACAAAAACTAATAATAATAAACATAACTAACGGTTATCTAACGAATACATTCCTTTATTCTAGATGGCACTGGCAAGGATTTGTATTCACCTGAGGCGGAAAGCTCGCCGGCGCCCTCATTTGTGGAGCCAACTGTGGCGCAATTGGCAGTTGGCGCAGGCGGCGGAGTCTCGGCATTGGGCGTGGCCAAGCCAACATCGCGCACCAGCAGCTTTGAAATTGAGAATCTGCTAAAGACCGCGGAACAAGTAAGTGCCTAGTACTCAGCCTGTCCCCTTTTTTCGCTCTGCCTCTTTCTCCCTCTATATATATATATTATATAAACATGACCAAGAAGAAACAAAACGCTAACACGTTAAACCCGTCTGCCCTGAAACCCGAAAAAAAAAATAAACAAAAAATAATACTCTGGCCCCTAGACCTGACATCCAAGAACATTCAAACCCGGCACTGGGAACGGAACTTGGCACTTGGCTGACACCGGCTAAGGCAGCGGGCAAAGTCAGTTCCAATTGCTTTGAACTCGCTGAGCGGAAACGGAAACTATTAAAACGAGCGCCAAACACGAGGCAGCAACGCATGGCGTGTGGCTTGAGCTTCGGCTTGGGGCTTATGCATTTCTGATTGAAATGTGCACAAATTGAAATTTGCTAAAGCCATGAGACGACGGCGGACTGAGGACTTCATATGGGGCGGTTATGGTTTGGTAAGCAGCTGCGGGTCTCTGGGCGGGCCTCTAGCTGCAGCTGGCTGTCAGTAGCTGGTTGACGCTCAAGATGTCGTGCCACAAATTTGGCCTATTGGGTCTTGTTGCTTGCAAGTCACCAAACAATAAACGTCACAAATAGAAATGTGCTGGCATAAAAATATCAAGGATATATACACTACAACAGCTATGAACGCCAGGCGACAGAGAAAGAGAGAGAGCGACAGCCTGATAGAAAGCGAGTGAAGCGACAAGAGACAAGAGAAAGAAACGCAAAGACGCCACAGAATGCACTTTGTTTCTGGATATGCTTTACCCAAGTGTGCTCGAAACTGGCAGAAACCCACTTCATTTAATGATACTTGAACACTGTGACACACAAACACACTGAGGCCGAGCCACACACACATACACACATGCACATGCACATACCCAGACACACGCACAAACATGCAACTGCCAGGCGAGACAGCAACTGGAGAGTCAGGGCGTTACATAAGAATCCTTTTAATTCAAGTTGACATTTCGCACAGCAGCAGCAGCAGCGGCGGCGGCGTCGGCGGCGGCTGCAGCTCACCAAGAAATTCAAGAAATTTTCAAATTTTTCATCTTTGGGGCATGACGCCAGCAGCAACGCCAGCAACAACAATGTTGGCACTCAGCAGCTGGCCCATAAGCTGCCTCAGCCGCTCACCTGGCACTAAACCCACGCCATGCCAGCCAGCACCCCAGCAGCTCTCCACCACGCCCCGCCCGCCCATGGACCCTTTGTGTCTTACTCTTTGTTGGTTTTGGGTCGCTGCCGACGCCGCTTATGCAAATCAGAGACGCAGCCGTCGACGTTGCAACTGAAAGAAATGCAGAACAATAAAACAGTTAAAAGTAGACAAGAACAAGCAGCACAACAACAGCAAAGAAGAAACGCCAAGAGAGAGAGAACGGGAGAGAGAAGGAAATAATAATACACAAAGTGCAACTGCATAAAAGTGAAATGTCTTCCACAATGCCAACGAGCAGCAACAACAACAACAAAAATAAAAACAAGAACAATTCAACTGAATGTTGTACGAACAATGACAACTGAAATTTCATGAGATTGTTGTTGCAACTACATGGCAAAGTCTTCAAGTGTGCCTCTGCGTGTCTTTGTGTGTGTGGGTGTGGTGTGTGTGTTTGTAGGGATGAAAACGTGACAAGACTGTCAGTCACGACAAAAAAGTTCAGCTAAAAATCTATATGCAAGATAGGTTTCCAGCCATATTTTGCGTTAAACAAAAATTGTTCAAGACATATATAAATCTGCCATAAAATGTGGCTGCAGTTTGGACAATAGATGGCGCCAGCTATAAAAATATACAAGTTACAAATAAAATTTGACTATCAGTTAATTTGTAACTTCTTAAGGCAAATGCAAATTTGCATATTAATTAACTGAACTCTATCTATGGATAGATAAGGCTAACTTTAAATATTCACAAGTAACCAGTTTCAGCAAAACTTACAGTTATTTTCTAGCTTCCGGCTGTTTATTTTCATTTCAAGCAGCAGTTGGAAAAATGTTTTCATAAGCTGCATTTCCGGTTGTTTAGCTTAAGCGTGCGGCCAACAGATGGCGCCAGCAACCAATACAGTGCTTTGCATATAGAATGAATACAATTTTTAGAATTGTAGAAATTCTTAAGGAAATTCCGTAAAGAAAAGCTAGAATTCGGTATATTGAGAATTTAATTATTGAGCATTTGACGACTTTGGCTGCCATCTGCTTGAAACTGATATTAAATTTCAATTGTATTCAAATAAATTTCTCAAATGTCTTGAAGTGTAAAATAGCGCCCACTTAAGCCTTTGTCGCAATCACGCTGTCATCGCCAGTGGCCGCCCGTTCCTTGAAGAACAACACGCATTTTGAGCGCTGTCAAGCACAGTGGTAAGGCTTATGCGCCAGCTCTCAATCCCTGCCTCTGTCTCTGTCTGTGTTTGTGTCTGTGTCTGTGTCGGTGTGTGTCTATCTCTTTGCTGTTTACCGCTCTGTTGATTTAAACTTTGACCTTTTGCAAATTGCACAGCACACAAATACACACACACAATCCCAGGCACAGTAAGGCGTATAAAAATATTTGTTTAGGCATTTACAATGCAAATTCGTTCAATATTTTGCTGGGCATGGCAAGTCAATTTAACTCAGTTCCGGTCAACACGCCATTTAACACTTTTGCCTAAGCCAGAAAACAGCAACAACAACATAGGTATAATAACAGAAGTTAAACCAAAAAAAAAAAAAAAAAAAAACAAGTAAATAAAATAAATATAAAGAAGACTTAAACAAAAATGAAAAGCCGAGGGACCTAAAACCACTGTGCAAGTGACATAAGAAGGCTGAAGATTTGCGCACCTCTGCACTTTATGCAAAATGCGGTTGTGTGGTTAACTCTATGAGAGTGTGTGTGTGTGGGTGTGCGCGTATTTGTCTGGTGTAGTTGTATGCACACACGCTCTATGTCAACCGTCAAGCGTCAACTGTCAGTGCCAAATGTGCTTGTAACCGCACACAAACACCAACACCAGCAGCAGCAACAGCAGCAGCAACAACTTTGGCGAGGACAAAACACAACAACAACAACGACAACAACGAGAACAACTACAACAAGCAAACGACGCCCCCAACTTGGACTTACGACAAGGACGTGACAGTCATTTAGAACCGCAGCTGACGTCGTCGTCGCTGGGGCTACGTTTATGTCTGTCTGTTTAAAGTGGCCGCCGCGAGTCCCACAATAAAACCGACCCCGAACCAGAGCAGCAGCCGAACGAGCCATGCCAACAGTTTGACCCAGGACACAGCCCCCTGACCCGCTGCCACAGCCAACGTCTAAGCCCACCGACCCAACGAACCAACGGCCCACCTACTCCAATGTCCTGCTCTTAACTATCGCTGTCTATCTATCTCTGTCATGCTAACTTCATTTTTGTTTATTGTCATTTATTTTTGGTGTCTCTTTTTTGTGTGGTCGCTTTTCTCGTTTTTGTTTCGTTTCTTTCGTTTCACGATCCTCATCATGCAACAACAACAACAACAACAACTACAATAACAACAATAAAAACAACAACAAACACAACAACACAACACAATCAACAACCAACAACAAACCAACCCAACTGAACCCTGACCTGTTAAGGTTACCGGATTTTGTCGTTCACCTCAGGAAACGCGCAAATCGAGCCCCACGGGTTCAGTCACATCGTCGGTCTCGACCACAGCGCTGACACCGTCGCGCCAACTGACCGATGCCGAGAAACTGCGCAAAGTCATCATGGAGCTGGTGGACACGGAGCGCACCTACGTTAAGGTAAGTACCAGAGTCACAGACCCCATGCTCACACTCTATTCAATCTTATTGCAAACTTTGGTATGCACTTGCTGCAGGTATTTGCAATTTGTCATTAAGCATGAAGCGCACTGAGATAGTTATTAAAAAGATCAGGGCGGAAAAAAAGGTTGCCTTAAGTTCTGGGTCTTAATGTAAACCTTCTTTTGGGATATATATTTTTTTACTTTGAACTTTAAATGAAACAATAAAATTGTAATTAGACAATCGCCCATTGTACAAAGAATATTGCAATCCATAAATATTCTCATATACTATATGTGGGCTAAAACTTAAATCAAATTAAAGCTAGCAACTATTTTGATAAATGCCAAATATGTTTAAACTTTGGAGCAGGTTCTGCCTCATTAGTTTTTTACTTTGAATCGGTTTGTCTATTTTTCTACTTTACGTATTACTACTTTACTTTAAAGTACACCTAGCACAGCAATCTGCTGCAAGTAACTATCAGGGTATTTAGACTTCTTGAAAGCACAGATAACGTTACCTTCTTGCTGTCCTTGTTAGCCAACATTACACATTCCATTCATTAGTCCTGGCTTGCAATTAAAAATGCAAATTTTAATCCTTTAACCATGCGGCTATGTTTCTGGCTTTAAGCCATGGCCGCCCGAGTTGGCCAGGAAGCATACAAATAATTATTATAATTTAGAAATTATGTAAAGCGCCGCGCCGCTGCCGCAACGTTGGCGAGTCTTATCTCTGGCTGTAACCCGACTGCCCACTCTCCCCCCTAGTCTACTCCACCCTCTCTCTATCCGCTGGCCGGAAGTATTGTTCCAAATGAAAGCGCGCGCCTGCGGCTATGCTACAGTTTTTTTCGCCCATATTTTTATATACTTATTTTCTTCTGCCTTTCTGCGTTGTTGTTGGCAAACTAAAAAGTTGTTCTGGTAGCTACCAGAGCACCAGGAACTGGTCACCAGCTCATCCCAACTGGGAGTTCGTTGGCTGGGGGCACGGGACTGCTGTTGTGGGCAGTTGTCGTTTTTGGGCGACTGCTGCTGATTTTTTAATTTAATTTATGCATCTCGTTTTTTGTTGTTGCTTTTCTTCTCATTTTTCATTTTTTATGTGTCAACAAATTTGAATTTATTGAACAACAACAACAACAACAACTACGTTTGAATTATTTTCGTATGCAGCACTTGAACAATCTGCTGGAGCATTATCTGGAGCCCATGAAACGCGAAACGTTTCTATCGAATGCGGAAATTAATGCGCTCTTCGGCAACATACACGAGATTGTTACATTCCAGCGCCAGTTCCTGCAGAATCTCGAGGAGGCGCTCGAACTTGAGCCGGAATTCAATAAATTCGAGCACTGCGGTCAGTTTAGGGTAAGTTCCAGTACGAGCTCCCTTCCGAGCTCCTGCAAGTGCGTGACTTGCCTGTCTAATTGCAGTTTTAAATTCGTTTTATGTAGGCTCGTAATGTTTAATATCTGTGTCTTTTCTTTATTGTTGCAGAACGTCTTGTTTGCAATCGGCTCGGCTTTTCTCTATTATGTCAATCACTTCAAGCTGTACTCCTCGTTCTGTGCCAGCCACAGCAAGGCCCAAAAGGTTTTGCATCCAAGTAAGTACATATATCAATGATCTATACATTTCATTTAGTTGCCTAAAAGACCAAACTTTTTGTCAAAACTGAATTGATTTCCATTCAAAAAGGTATTACAATTAAGTTAGCTTTCAAATTTCATGGACTATTTCTACTCAAATGAAAGCCCATAGAAAAAATATGAATTCTGTTGTATGTATTCTGTATTTTTAAAAAATACAATTTAGCAGTTTTTTGCTAGTTTTTGATACATTTCCATTTGATTGTTCATACGCCTGGTAGTCCGCTAAAAAAAATTGCAGCCTACTTGTAGGTTGTTTTGTACAAAAATTTGCATGGGATAAAATTTAAAACCAAAGCGAACGCAACGGAAAGACAAATTTGTGGACGTGTCGTGTGAGAAACCAAAAGAAAAGTGTTTGACATATGCATAAATACATATATTATGAGGCATTTCTATGAATGTGTGTGTGTGTGTGTGTGTGTGTGTGTGTGTGTGGGGATGTGTGTGTGTGCTTGGTGTGAGCTCAACTATTGCAATCAGCGTGAAGCGTCAAAGTCTATTTGAGTTTGAAGTTTGATGCGAGTGTGGGCGTGACTCGGGGAGCGCAGGGGATGGATAGTTTGTGAAAGTTGTAAAAGTCAAACAAGCGACAAGTTACGAACAATTGGCAAACTATGCGCTTCAATTGTTGTCTGCGGCTGCCGCAACCCACGCACACAACGCGCCTTTAAATGATTTGCAAGTTAAATGAATAATTACAACCGCAAATGCAAAGATACGAGGCGCAGGCGCGGCAAGGCGTGGCATATTCATATTCATGCCATGCCATGCCAGCAGCAGCAACCGAAGCTGTCAAGTATCTTTTGTTAATTAAACTTGTAGAATTATGACACGTTTGCAAATGGGCAAAGCGCAGGACTGCCAAAAACTATGTCGCGCTGTTGCCACTGGCAGAGTCCCCATGAAAGGCAGCTGGAGCAGCAGCTGCGACACGGGAATAGGCGAAAAAGTGCAGACTAGAGAGACCTGCAGACTCCAGATTCTGGCTTAGGCGACAACATGTCATAATTAAATTAGACTTAGTGGCAGCTTAAAAACACCCGAGCAAACACAAGTGCCACAAATGAGAAACGGATGGAAAAGAGAGCAAACAAGAGCGTACTAGATATGCCTGGGTATGCCGCAGTCGAAATACCCTTGTTAACCCTGTTAAAGCAATCAGATTTTTAATATAATTTAATGGGGCTTTTATTGCAACAAACTCGCAAGACAGAGCTATATGATTTTCATAAAAAATAAAAGACGAGAGACTTTGGTCATGATATAAAAAAAATGTCATATTCAACTCTAAAACTTAATTTGTTATACATAGCTTTAATATATAAAGCATGATGCTTACCATCTCTTCGTGAAGATAGTTTCAAATCTAAATATATGTTGGCATGGAAACAGACAAGGTGACAAGGTGATCCAACGACTCTGGGATATACTTGTGTACAGATGTCTTCTTTAATATAGAATACTTGACAATATATAATACCCTCTGCAAGGAGCAATAAGAGCGAAAATAAGAGTGAGTGTTGTAGATGTTGTAAAGCTTTACAATTTCATAACAAAGTACTAGCTAATTAATGACAACAGCAGCAAAACGTCGAGGTACAAATTCGCAATATTTGCAATCAATGGCAGTCAAAGCTGCTGCCAAGAGCAAGCAGGAGCAGCAACAGCTGGAGCAGGAGCAGAAGCAAGAGCTGAAGCACAGTGTGTCAACTTAAGTTTCAGCTTTAGCTACGGCAGATACTCGAGCTGCTGCTGCTGCTGCTGCTGTTGCGCTTGGCTGTTGCATGCAATTTTATGCAAAAAGTTGAAAGGATAATTAATTATAGCAAGAAGTGCACTTAAGTGCCTTCGTTACAAGCAGGCAGGCAGGCAGGCTGGCAAAAGCAGGAGTAGGTGCCCAGGATAGGAGAGGGAGGAAAAGAGAAGCCAGCCATTAGACGCAAATCCGTGCAGCAGACAGGCTTTGACTATGGCCTTTATCAAAGCTTCTCAGCTGACTATAAGAACAAGTTAATGACATTTTCTTGTCAACGTTGCGCACGTGTAGCCTGTCCCTGTGTCACCTGCCCTGGCCCTGGTTCAGAACAACGTTCGCATTAATGGGAATTGAAGCGTGCACTAAAATCAAATCATTTGCCAAATTTGTCTCAATTTCTGCAATTGTTAAGCGTCTCAATTTTCTCATTTGCTGCAGACGAGGGCAACCATGCGCTCCAGGAGTTCCTTGCCGCACGCAATCCCAAGCAGCAGCACAGCAGCACCTTGGAATCGTATCTGATCAAGCCGATACAGCGCATACTCAAATATCCGCTGCTCCTGCAGCAGATGCGTAATCTGACAGATACGCGCGCCGACGAGCACGTGCATCTCTGCGGTAAGTATGGCGAGCTGAAACACCCGCCCCAGCACACAATTGGCAATCTTGCAAACCATTCGTTTAACCCAACAGAGGCGCTCAAGGGCATGGAGAAGGTGGCGGAGCACATAAATGAGATGCAACGCATCCATGAGGAATACGGCGCGATATTTGATCATCTATTCCGGCAGCATCAGAAGTCATGCAAGCAGCCAATCGATTTGAGTCCAGGTGGGTTACAGCAAAAGCATTCAATAGCTACATCAGCTTCAAATGCCAATGCAAATGCTCCTCCCCCGCAATGCTGCGCATTCCCAGGCGATTTGCTCTACTATGGCGGCGTCGAGTGGCTGAACATTTCCGATTTTCTGGGCAAGATCAAGAAAGGCCTGGAACTGCATGCCATGTGCTTTGTATTCAAATCGGCGGTTGTGTTCCTCTGCAAAGAGCGTTTGCGTCAAAAGAAGAAGCTAATGGTAAGTAAACAAGTGAATAGCCACGAATAATTAACCCGTCCCCTGTCCAACCTGTCCAATCTCATGCTCGCTATCGTACACAGGGCGTCTCAAGCAAGAATGCACCAAATGAGGTCGAAATTATACGATATCAGGTGTTGATACCCGTCACCGAGGTGCAGGTGCGCGCCAGCTCTGCAAAGGACATGGACTCGCACTTCCTCTGGGAGCTTATACACTTGCGCTCGCAGCTGCAGCGCCGCTCTGAAAAGGTCTATGTGCTGTCCAATAGCACCGCCGATTTTCGAAATGCATTCCTCAAGACGATCAGGCAAATAATACGCGAGAGCGTGCGGAACATGTCAATTCCCATGAAGAACTTTGGCGGCAGCTCGGGCTCCGTTTCGGGTCTATCCTCCCAGCTGGGCGGCTATGCGGGCAACTCGCAAACGCTGGAGCGGCCCAAGCAGCAGGTAACTAACTAACAGCTGCCTATAATACCCAATCCCTGCCAGCTGCTGAACTCCCTGTTTTTCTCAGATCACCATCGTTCATGGTTCTCATACGCTGGGCAAGCCAAAGAAGAAGTCCGGCTCACAGCGTCATTCGGCCGGCAATATTGACTACGACAATCTGTCTGGCAGCCAGGAGGGCGAGGAGCTGCCGCCAAATATGGCAGGTGTGGTGCACTATGTGCCACTCTCACACGCACAGCAGCTGCAGCAGCCGGGCGGCTTTCGCAGTCGCAGCAAGACGCTGGGCGATGTGACAGGTAAGTTTGAGCTGCAGTCGATTGCGGGCGTCTCACGTGCCTGGCAAATAACGCTAATCACACACAAACACACACATCATTGCATCGCTTCATGCTTCATAAAGAAATCATTTACACCTCCATAGATCCGCAACAGCCGCAACAGCAGCAGCAGCAACAGCAACAGCAGCAGCAGCAGCAGCTTGTGCAACAGTCGGTGGCGCCGCATCCACATCCACGCGAGCCACCGCCGCCGCCCATAAGGCAGCCGCATTTGCATCATCACAGCAGCGACATTGAACGCATCGATCCGGGCACCAAATCGGAGGGTGAGGAGGATTCGCAGCAGGGCACAATCAGGCCCAAGGCTACGCTGGGCCGCACGCCCAATCACCTGACGCTCAGGTAAGTCCCAAAGCTCAACCCTAGCTAGTAATTTGGCAGCTAGCTATAAAATATAATTGAAAAAAATAATAAATGAAAGCCCGAAAGCTTGCAATAATTGTAATAGCTGCTGTCATTTAGTTTGCAAAACTGAAAGTTTGGTTCATTTCGATTAATTAGCAGGGCTGTAAACTCATCAATAATATGTCTGTGGTTCAGCTTACGGTTTGAACCAGCTCCTGCCCTTATGTTCGATTCAGGAAACTGGTTTTCACGTTCGTGAGCCCAGACTTTGCTTTGATTCATAGTAAAAATATATTAGAATTCCGCGTTAGAGCCAGAGTTCAGTTCAAACTTGGTTTACAGAACTGTCAACTAATAACAATATTCTGTTAACCGAGTTGGAATCTAGTTTAATAGGTAGTTAGGTATATTAGCTGTTAATTATTTAATTTGAAATCCTCGTAACGCTCGTTTATTGCTTGACTTATTGCTATTTTACTCTCTTTCTTTGTCATTTTATCATATAGCACCACATCGACGCTCTCGGTGGGCAGCACTGGCAGCCAGGCGCGCTTGATACAATCATCGCATCCGCCGGCCAGCTATCAGCCAGTGCTTATGAAGGATCTAGGTAAGAGCAGCCTAGATATAGTTCCCGGCGAATCCGAGCACGAATCGGAATCCGAGGCGCATGCCGCACACGTGCCACATGCCACGTTTAATTTAAGCCTAGGCAGTAGTGGTAGCTTGTTTGCAGCAACAGTCAGTAGCGATACGAATCCGAATCTAACTTTGACCCAGACACTGACCCAAACTCAGAGCCAGACCATGAGACATTTGTCGCCGCGACAGTCGCCGCGTCAGTCGCCCAAGCAGGAGATCGAGGTAATTGAGATCTTTGAGAGCGAATCGGAGCGTTTGGCCGCCTCCCAGCAGGTGGCCGTAGTGCATCAGCATCCCAGGGGCACAGCGGAGTCGCAGCACAAGCGTCGCGAACGTGATGCCAACAACGGGTCTGCCACTGGCCATGTGACCGAATCAGATGCCACTATGCGTTTCATGGACAAGCATCTGTGCGAGCTGGAGCAGGAGGATTTGGCAGCGGGCATCTGTGACATAGCCGCCTACATGGCCAACTTGCGCGAGAAGGCCTTTGAGCCAGCGGATGCCGGTGAGGAAGCTGCTGATCAGCAGCAAAACGACTCCAGCCTCTCGCCCGAGCCACAGACCATTGTGGAGAATACACAGCAGATCGTGACCGTGGACATTGAGTCGCCCTCGAGTCGACCTGCCACAGAATCGGACAGCACTGGCGGCAACACAACTGGACCATCGGAGCGGTCCGGCGATGAGACCGAGGATGAGCCAACCAGTTCGCTAGCCTCGCACATTGTTGTTATCGACAAGAAGGTGGACAAGGTGTTCAAGGCCAAGTCCCCGGAGCGAGCGACTGCAGCGGCCGGCGCCAAGCCGAAAAGCGGCAAGCGTCAGAGCATCTACATTTCGCCAGATCGCTGCAAATCCCAGGGCAGCTCCCCGGTGCGCATCATTAAGATTAAATCGCCACGCAACAGCGTCAGCGACCAGGGCAAACGTTTGAGCATCTGCTCCAGTCGCGAGAACTCGCAGGATCGCCTCTCCGGCGGACGGCGCACGCCCAGTCCGCGTCGCAGCTCTGAGGGTGGCGGCGGTATCTTGAAGCACACAAGTCCTGGCGCGGGCATACTGAAGCCACCGGCCAGCCCTGCCAAGTCAAAGAGTCCTGATCGCAGCTGCCTGAAGAAGGGCGGCGCATCGCATGTATGTGCCATGGAGCCAACAACCACCACGTTGTCGCCACGCATATCGCCACGCGGGAGTGTGGATCATTTGTCGCCGGATCGCGCCAGCATTTGCCAGCGCCATTCGCCGCGCAGCAGCTTCGATAGCCACGGCGGCTCCGATCATAATCTGGATGTGCCCTACGGCGGCGGCGGCGGCTCACGCAAGCGCAGCATGTCTGCCCACGGCAGCTTTGAGACGGGCAACAAGCCGCACGCCCAGGAGACATATCAGTATTATCCGGTTTATGACAATCAAACTTGCAGCGATCATTATGTGGCCGCCGCGCCCACTACAAGCAGATATGGCTCCGGGAATGGCCGCAGTCGACTAAGCAAATCCCTGGAGCGGTCCACCTCGCGTGACAGCACCACCACAAGCAGCTCCTATCGCCCCTATGGCGTCTCGCCCGAGCGCAACTATGTCGTCTATAGCTCCGGTCCGCTGCGCTCTCAGTCGGCGGAGAATACCTTCTCGCAGCCCATCTATGATGCGCTGCCCAGGCAGGCGCCACAGCAATACATGCCCATGGTTAGCTATATGCAGGATATGGATATGGGCTATGGACAGCCGCCGCCGCCCAGCTGCCCGCATGATCCGGCCCAGCAGGCTGTCTATCAGCTGAGCTCCTCGGCGCCCGAATATACCACATGCATTGACTGTCTGTACCAGAAGCGACCCTCCTAGCATAAGCCCCGCGTGCGGCAAAGTCGCACGCGGAAGAAGACGCCACGTGGCCTAAGCGGGATGCCCGGCATGCCCGGCATGGTGGTTAGCACACAGCCCACAGCCAGCGGCGGCATTGGCTACATGCCCGACATGGGCAGCGATCAGGCAGGCGGCTGTGTCGATTGCCATGATTATTTCGAGATACACGTCTAAGGACGTACCAACTGACAAAAGACCCAAAGAATAAAGTAGGGGGAATTAAGAGTGAGGGAGAGACACAAAAACAGGGATTTTATGAGATCTATTAAATATACGAGTAGTTGAATTAAAACTCATTACAAAAGCGCAACCAAAGATAACATAAAACAACAACAACAGTAACCCAAAATGCCTCAAGAATTTTACAAAAACTATAAACAAAATGGAAATATTACCGCTCAGCTCTACAAAGATACTAACATATACGTAAACTTCAATGCAAACTATATAAAAACGTTAATCAAAACTTGAACACAAGGGATTGAAAGCAAATACTTATACACAGCACACACACAACACACACACGCACAACAGCACAGTTAAGAGTCATGTTTAAGTGTTAGATTAAGCTCTTGGTATAGCTCTTAGGAACACTCAACTACATCTTCAGAGCACAACTAATTTTTTGTGGGGTGCGGCGGGCTCTAAAAAGTTGCAGCTGCAATTTGTGACCGCGCCCCCTTGCGCCTCCCCCTTGGGTGAGTGTGTGTGTGCTTGGCACATCAGGTTAATTATTTTGGTTTTAGGGAGAAAAGCAAATTTTGGGGCGTTATTTTTAAGGCTATGATTTACACAAAATGGCGGAAGTTCTGCATGCTGCGTGCGGCATTACGTATACGCACATGACGCATACGCCGCGTTGCACACAATGCTCAAGTGGCGTAATTACGACTAAAAACTAAAGTTGAAATTCATACTCGCACTCAAGTAAACTAAGAGACATGCATGCCCAACTTACTAACAACCACACACACACACACACACATACACACACATGCACACGCAGAAGCACACGCACACGTACACGTACACAATGGCAGAAAATAGGCACTTATATATAGGATAAAAGTTGTAAGTAATGCCAGTCGTTCCAACTATTAGCTGTGCAAACTGGCATTTCCGGAATCGTAAGAAAAAGTTTTTAATTACACGGCTCGCAAGATTGAAAATGATTGCAGCTGCTCCGGGGTGCAAAATACTCGTGTGTATTTTAGTTTAAGTCTAAGTGAATAATGCGGGTTAGCAACATTCTATAGGTTAACATTATACATACTACCTAAAAAAAAATCAAAACAAAAAACAGGAAACAAAAATGAATATTTACATAGTTAGCTAGCGAAATAGAAAATATGTCAAAAAATATGTGTGGGTGTTGTGACAAATAATTTTGCATTAATTAATAACAAAACATTTTCGAGTTTTTTTATTTATCAATCATAAAACTGCATATGCAAATCACGTACATTTTTTCATAGGCAACTAATGATTTACAAAAAAAAAAAAAACAAAAAACAATAAAAACCAAATGAAATAAATGTATTGAAGAATGATAATCGTAAGTCGTACCTCAATGTTCAGTATTAAATAAATTCAACAGAAAATGCATATAGGCATATTATATAAATCGATTATACATAGAGCAACGGATATATGCGGCCATAAATATACACTTAAATCAGGGCAGGCAGGTGTGAACACTAACCTAATGCATACCCAGAGATCTTCCAATTCTAAAAGCAAAGCCCTAAGTAGTCCGAGTTCCATCCTCCTATTCAATCCATTCGTTCGACTTGCCTCGCTCTCATATACACATTCATACTTAGGCTAAGTTTGGGTGTCTATTAACTGCAGGCATATATTACACATAGAGAGACCCAAGACGGACTTAAAGATCAAATGTCAGGTTGTTCAAGCTATATTCAAAATAGTCAAAATAATTCTTAAGATATCTACAATACAAAAAGAAAAAGAAAAAGAAAAGAAACGTTTACAGTTTACACTGGGCTTCACAGCAGCAAAATCAAAAACTACAAATTTAAAAACAAATGGAAAAACCAATCAAATCAAAATATATACGAAATACAATTAATAAGACAAATGACAACATATACTAACTATATACAATACATCAATTTACATGGCTACATAAGTAATAAATTTAAATAAAAATAAAAAATAAATTAAATAAAAACCACAAGAAAACACAATACGTTTAAAAAATGGAAAACTAATACAACTAATAAGCAAATAATCGCGTAAACACTTTAATCACAAAATCAATTTAAAATTTCATTGTTGCATATATGCCAAAAACTCCAATATAAATGTATACCACTAAATAAATAATCAAACCAAATATAATCAAGAGCGCTAAAATCAACAGCAACAAGAAGAAGTTGAAAAAATAAAATAGACAGCAAATAAAATGATAATTAAGCTCACAAAATTTAAATAACGAATACTGAAAAGTAAACAAACAGAATAGCTAATTAAACAACAATTCAAATTAATGTCAACGAGCTCTTTGGACAGCGACAAAATGACAGTAATCGATGCAGAACCCTCTGAGACCCGCTCCTGCTCCCGCCCCCGCCCTTCAACTCCCCCCCTTAAGGACAGGCACAGAACCGTATCGTATCGTATCGTATCGTATGTTTTAGGCGCCCAAATATATTAGTTGCAAATTGATTTTAGTTGATTTAGTCAAGTTAGCAGGTAAGTGCGTATTTTCCTTTTGTAAATTAGTAACAAATTATTAATTATATTGAATTAGCAGTTAAACAATTTAACGGGTGATATTTAATTTTGTTATTGCAAATTATCTTCAAGATAAATAAAAATAATAAAATCCAAAAAAAAATTAATAATATCAAATGAATCAAACACAATGCAAATCGTAACACAATCTCCTATTAATTAATGCTTAAATATGTTTGTCTATTCATAAGAAGTAAACATTTAAGTATGTTCGAAGGTTGTGTGCGTAAGCTCCACACAGATACATCTGCATCTATGGTCAAAGCCTGTCAGTACAGTGTGTATCTGTTGTATCTGTTGCAAGCACTTGATAGCTAATAAAAACAACCAAAAACAACAACACAAACAACAACAAGAATAACAAGATTTTCTAAGTATATTTAGTTGGCATCGCTTGATTAATTAATAATAATAAATAAAATTTTATTGAAAATGAAATTTGTCGGCGATTTTGCAAGTTATTTACATTAAAAATTTTCGGCATTTCAATAATAATCTGTTTTGCATTTTCTAATTATCTAAAAACATACAATAAAACCAACAAAAACTAATAGTTAAATAAAACAAACCAACTGTGCCAGATTAACGTAAACTCTTTAAATGCTATGATTATGTTTATGATAAATTAGTGCCAATGGAAAACTAAAGCATTAATTAAAATACGCAATAACATATATATATATATATATATATTTAATCGAAATATTTATACAAATGTCTTATGGTTACACACACGTGTCCCCACAACCAACCAAACACCAAGCAACAAACTCCATGTTAACACTTACCCCTTCTCTCTCTCTCGCTCTTCAATCTAATTTAAAACAAAAAAAAAGCAAAAATTTTATTTCGCTTCTCGTATAACTTTTTGCATTGCATTTTTGTGTAACTCATACCTCGAAAAGAACATCGTTTTTTTAATCACGGCAAATAATTTTCCAAACATGTTAACTATTTTCCGAAATCAGCTAAAACTTGTTTATTGCAATAAAGGCGTGGCAACGCTTGCCCTCAATCATTTTCATCTAATTGGCCGACAAATTAAAGTATTTTAAGCACATGTTTTAGATATTCTAACATTTTCAACATGCACTCATTTGAAATCAAAAGTGTTTTTCGGATTTATAGGAACAATCACGATATTGACCATATTTAATTCCATTTCCTTTTTGTACTGAACACAAAACATACAAAAATGTTGGCATAAAATGCAAAACTAATAAAATAAATAAGAAATCATTCGAAAATTTGTACAATCACTGAAAAAGTAGATTAGCTTGAATTAACGAGAAAAAATAATACAGAAAAGAAACGAAAGCAAGAAATATGAGAAAAACCAAGCGATGTCAACATTTTAAACCAACAGAACTAAACTTTTATCCCATACTGTTTTAATTCCCTCAACAAATATCAAAATTTTAAATTAATACAAATTCTAAATTAGTTATTTTTAGCTTAGCTGTTTAAACTGCCCGAAGCCACAATTACCCCTCCTCCTTCTTCTCCTCCTTCCCGTCCACCCCATATTAAGTAGCAAAAGCAGCGTTAAAGTAGTGCTCATTATGCATTTAAAAGAAATATAATTAGTTTTGCTTATATTTTATTTAAGCTAAAAGAAAACGTTGAAAGTATTTGCTTTGACCAAGTACTTTGAACGGGCTGCGTTGCATGTTTTATAAGTAAATATCTGAATCTGAAGACGACAATTGGCTAACTCCTAAATAAACCAAAACGAAATGTACACCAAATTATATATTTAAACAAAATGGAGAGCTTTTCTCTGCTACTCTTTATACTGCTACAAGTTAAGTTCTTTATTTTTGTTTGACCGCAAAAGAATGAAGAAAGCAAACAAAAATAATAGAACGAGAATACGAAAATTTCATATTTTTTCATATATGGTTTCCATTGTATCTTTTCCTTTCTTTCATTTAATTGTAGGGTCCCCGGTGTGGAAACCACGAGACATGATAAATTTAGGCACAGATCCACAGTCAACAACCCGCAAAGACGATGTGAAAAATTAAATCAGAAAAAGCAAAACAATACATTTAGTATGATGCTAAGCAAACATAAGAACTCTTGAATAAATTCTTTTGTTACAATTTTAACTAATCAAGTGTAAGAAACAACGGCAACAGTTCAATCAAAGAACACAACACACAGAAACAATACGAACTAACACTTTTCCACCCTCCCCTAAAATCCCCAATCAAGCAACTTGCAAAAGAAAAAAAAAAAGAATAAAATAAAATCCAAAATAAAACTTTATTTATTATTAACTAATTAATACTGAAACAAGTGTGTCAAAATGTTAAAGTTGCTTTTAAAAAAGTGAATAGTCTCGAACTGTTTTAAGCATAAAAAACATCGAACAAAATATGAAAGAAAAAACAAACAGTTTGTTGTTTTTTGTTTACGTTTTTAATGAGAGCGAAAAGATGCTAACTTGCACATCTTTTTTAAAAAGAAGACTTTGATTTATAATATCGATTGTATTGAATGTGCAAAACATATAATAAACGTATAATTATAGCAAAGGATTTTGAACAAATTTAATAAGGATTAAATAAATAAATTAATTAAAAAAGAAAATGTGAACAAATTCAAATGCATTTGTCGCTGGAAAAGACTTGAAAATAAATTTCGATTTAAATACATTTATTGAGGAGAAAACGTGAACAAATTGAAACATTGATTGTATTTAGGCTTAGTGAATTTAAAATGAAAACAAAACCAACAATCGCAAATGAAAACCAAAAACCAAAAAGGAAAATTAAATAAAATACAAACAAAACCAAATATATTAAAAATGCAACTTTAAGCAAACGTTCTAAAAGGCAACAAGAAATTAAAAATTAAAAAGAAAATCTTAGAGAATTAAGCAACACGAACAGCAAATCGACACACACTTGAATTAAATCTAAAGCTGCAATGCAAAATGTTTAGTTTGTAGGAAGTACACTGAAAAAAATTAGAAAAAAAAGAGAAATAAGAAAATACCATACAGCAACCACAAAAGAATACACACACACACACACACACATGAAAACAAAATAGAAGAAATTTAGTCAAAATGTTAAATGGTAAACTAACAAGTAATACTAACTAAAGACAAGAGAATTCCATACACTTAAACAAAAACATATTTATAAACACACACGAAATCGAAATGAGTTTTGCGGATTACAAATCCCAGAAGACAATGCAGAATTCAGCGTCAAATACAGCAAAACCTAACTTGTTAAACGCGGGCAAACATTTAAATAAACCTAAACACAAAACGAAAACTATATATAACTATATAAGTGTGAACACGACAGCAAAAAAAAAGAAAAACAAAAACAAAATAAACACACAAACAAACACTCTTCTAGCTAAATTACAATAATATTATAATTAAGATCTTCACTCGAACACATGCAAGAGATGCGAAAACCAAAATACATGCATAGGTAAATTCCATAGTTGAAAAACGGAAAACGTAAAACAAAATATTGAGCACAAACTTACATTTCTCCTGATAGGTTTTGCCTTGATTTTATTTTATTTGAAATGAGTTTTCAATACGAAAACAAGAGTTTTCACAAAAAGAAAATATTCTACCAGAAAACAGATAAAAAATAATAATTATATTGGTTGTGAATGCAGCTTGGATGTTATTCGAATCAGGAAACCTACCCAATTGCTGAAAGAATTCAATGCATTAACCAGCTCATTAAACCGGGGTACACTGCAAGTAGTTGGTGCAATTGTGTGTCAATTGCGAAGGGCTTGTGTTGCAATTCTTTTTTTCTTTCAGTGTACACTTGACATGCAGTGTTGTATGCGAGTTTCATGCATTCATTTTTCAATCCCATTCAAACACAACACGTGTAGCAAAAATCGAAACATAATCAAAACATTTTTAGGTTTCCAATCAAATTGAATTAAATATACAATGAAAACTTCAATTAAACTACAGACAGTAAAAACAAGAAAAGCGTAAGAATCGAGTCAACAAAAATTCTAAACAAAATAAATATACAATTGATAAATGGATGAATGTTAATCAAACACACAAAAAAGAAAAGAAGAAAACACAAAAAATTAAAGCAAAAAGCAAAATACCAAATCACAACATTTTAACATAATTTTTACTGTTTATATAAGTTTGACAAAAAAAAAAAATAAAATAAAAACAAAAACTAAGCATAACAAATAATAATATAAATAATAAACCGAAAAGCAGTCAGCAGTTTCTTGCGGGAAACTTTAGTCAAATGAAATAGTTAAATTATAAAACTTATTTAAAGATGGTTAAGTATATGAATCATTCGAAATAGTATAAAATTTTTGTACACATTTGACTATTTTTAATGCATTTTAAAAACAATTTATGTATACATATATATAAATCAATTAATGTGTATGTATAATTATTGCAACATGTATAATTATACACATGTACTTATTTAGTTTAGTTCAGGCCGCTTCTCTCTGCCTTAAGTAAAGGTGCGCGTATCAAGTTTAACAAATTGTTAATGGGTATTTTGATTTGTTTAATACAATTGTTATTAATTTTTGTTTTATTCACATTTACTTTGGAAAGAGCAGAAGCAGCAATGCATAGAGAATGATTGCAAATGTATTACATTTATAAGTCAGCAACACACAAAAGCATAAGAAAATTTATGAATCGAAATTTCAATAATGAACCATTTGTAACACACAATAGCAACAAAAACAACAACAACAAGTTAAACAGAAACAATTCTAGTTATAACGAACAAATGAACAAGCATTCATGAATTCAATTTTTATTATTGACAATTAACAACTGCAACAACAGCATGCAATCGATGTTAATAATTTTTGAAAAGATAAAAACAAAATAAAAAAAAAAAAATATACAACAAAATACACAATGAGAAAATTATTATACAATTGCAAATGCAAATTAACACTCAAAGTAAGGAAAGTGAAAATATGTGAAAATGATTAAATTACAAAGATCCTTTTGAAATGAACAAAAAGAAAAACAAAATAAAATGTGAAAATAAAAAAGTCCTACTCTTGTAATATTTCTTTGAATGCCCACTTTAGAAAAATAGCTATAACTCGGCCATATCCTTGCAGATTTTCAAAGGACACTGTGCTTTAGGACCGCAAGGACCAGCTCCATCGATCTGCATCAAAATATTATGGGGTCATCTAAGAATCCAGGACTTGTAAAATTTCAGTTGTGCGGATTGCACGTAAAATGGGCTAAAATCACATAATCCTTAATATCTTAGAAACTACAAGGACGATCTCGATGCCCTTTGGCCAGTTGGTAGCCCTGGTCAATACAATTTTTTTGACACAGGATTTGTCAGGATACGCAAGGATACGGCCGAGTTATGACCTATTTTCACTTGTTAAAATTGTCCTTAAAATTTCATTGATTGAAGGACTTTCGTCCTTATTAATGTGTATTCATAATTGGGAGGATGAGGACTACTTCATGGCCTAAGGACATCCCGATAGTCCTTCAAATGGCCAAGATAGCCCGGATTTTTTCGATTTTTGCCAATTTTGCGACTATATCCCTTGAAAAAGTTTTAGGCGAAAATTTTGGTCGAATCCTGGAAATTTTTGAATGCCAATCGATGGTCCTGAGTCCTGCGAGCTCAATAAGGTTTGTCCTCGCCAGATCCTGAAGGATTTGAGCAAGCTTGGCCAAAAAACAAATGTCCTTTTTAGAAAAATAGCTATAGCTCGGCCATATCCTTGCAGATTTTCAAAGGACACTGTGCTTTAGGACCGCAAGGACCAGCTCCGTCGATCTGCATCAAAATATTATGGGGTCATCTAAGAATCCAGGACTTGTAAAATTTCAGTTGTGCGGATTGCACGTAAAATGGGCTAAAATCACAAAATCCTTAATATCTTAGAAACTACAAGGACGATCTCGATGCACTTTGGCCAGTTGGTAGCCCTGTACAATACAATTGTTTGCGAGTATTTTTTTTATTGTAGATTATAATCTTTCCTAAAGTTACTCAGAATGTATAATTAAAATATCATTGAAATTAGTTTATTAAATACTTTTCTCTTTCATGTACAATATAATTATGGTACTAAAACGTACTAGTTCTATTGTATGTGTTTAGTGTACGTGTAATGTCTTACAACATAATAGCCGATGTGCATAAGAGCAGTGCTTTGTGGGAGCTGGATATATGGAGTTGATGCAGATATTTTTTACAGTAATTACAGGTAACATGGAAACTTTTAACAATTTTCTTTTCAATTTATTTACTTGGATTATGTTTAGAATAGGGAAAATATACATAATTAAGTAACCGATCAGTCTCCAGCTCAAAACACTTTCAGCTATCTTATACATATGTGTGTGTGTCAGTGTTTTGTATTTTCATTACTTATCTTATCGCGAGAACAACTCTATGGTTAGCATTTGCATTTATATCTACATCGATTCCAAATTGGCGAGATATATCAGCATGCCAATTTTTAAACACTCGTTTGGCATGTTATGTTTATACATAAAACATTTCAAGCGTAAACCGACAAATTAATTTTGTGTCCCAGTATAAGGATTATAACTAAAATTAGAACTTAATTTAAAACATACTATACAAATTTGTTGTAGGAGGATAGAGCTCAACGTAGTACGAAACAACTTGGCTTAGCCAATCACATTTAGTTTGGCAGCAGCTCCGCTAGTTGGTTCCTTAGACTGGGAGGGAGCGAATCGGGAAATTTGATGTCGAAGGCAACGATCAGGTCGCCGCGTCGCGACGGCTCCTTGGGAAAAGGCAAGCCGCGCCCACTAATACGCTTCGTTGTGGTGGGTTTGATGACTTCGCCCTGTGTGTTGACTGCTATGCGATCGCCCTGGAGCGTTGGCACTGATACTGAGGCGCCGCACAGGGCCTGCTTGAGACTGACTTGGGCATTGTAGCGCAAATCACTGCCCTCACGCTTGAATTGCGGATGCGGCTTGTCGCGTATGATGAAGATGATGTCCGCAGGCACTTTTTGTGGCGCCTGATCGCCTTCTTTGGGGAATGTGATCTTTGTGCCTGCCTTCCAACCCGGCTTTACAGTAATGCTCAGCACCTTTTCCTCTTTACGCGCCGTGCCCGTTGACATGGACATGCGCGAGATCTTCATTTTCTTTGTGCAGCCTCTGTCGACTTCTTCCAGCGTCACATATAAATCATGCTCGATTGGTGGGTCCTGTTGCTGGCGCTTCCGGCTGGGCGCTTGTGCATTAAACGACTGGGAACGGAAGGCGCCCATAGGATTGCCGCCAAAACCGCCAGCGTTGAACATTTCATCACCGCCAATGTTCATGAAGACTTGCTCAGTTCCGTCACCGCCGCCGCCACCAAAGAAGGCACCAAACGGATCCGCTGTGCCGAAGACATTCTGCGAGCCAAAGAACTGTGCAAATGTGGCGCGTGGATCACCATGGAACTGGTAAGTGTAGGCGCCTGGCTGGCCGCTGCCATCTGGTCCGGGTGGTCCACCCTTCAGTCCCTCCTCACCGTGCTGATCGTAAATGTCGCGTTTCTTCTTGTCGGACAGCACCTCGTACGCCTCTGCGATCTCCTTGAAGCGCTCCTCCGCTTGCGGGCTCTTGTTCTTGTCCGGATGGTATTTGAGTGCCAATTTTCGGTACGCCTTCTTAATATCATCATCTGTGGCCTTCTTGTCAATGCCCAATATCTTGTAGAAGTCTTTTCCCATTATGCTTTGCTTTGACGCCGCGCACTCACAAACTGCGAAAAAAGAATAGAAAGCACACAATTATTCTACTGATATACACATATTTATAAACGAAAAGCTAAAACAGCAGAGACAAATGTGTCGATTGTTTTTTCAACGCGTCGCTCAATGGAAATTGCTAGAAACTTTGAGTTGTGCAACGACAAAGACAACGCCAGCGAAAAGCTGATGTGTTGTCAATCTGGGCGTGACGTCGACACTGCCGTGTTTTGGGATTGTATTGTATTGCTTATTTCGCTTTTTATTTTATGTCTTGTTTTAAAGTTCATCAAATGCAGTTTGTTTTCAAGTGAAAACAAGCTAATTTAAGCATCAATTAATTTGTTAGGCCCTACATACCTTATTTGTTTTGCAGCTGCGTGCTATTCTTTTATTTAACTTTTTTCTTGTAAATTAACTTTCCGATTTGATTATTACTTGAATTTCTATGAATTGCAGTTAAAATATTCACTATATTCTTGAAATTATGTTGGTTTTAATCAATAGTTCTGTTTTTTTGTCTAGTGTGAAAACACACCCACTACTCGTTTCTCTTGATTTTTGCTAAATGAGTCGAACTGGCAACGGATGTTGCCTTTATATAGACTCGGAGCAGTCTGCTCGTCGAAAATTCTCGATGCTTCTAGCATAATAGGGTTGCATCCGGAACACAGCGGTTCGATAACATATAGCGCCAAAATTCAAATATTTAAATCACTTTTCTAAGAACTTAAAAATCGCATGTAAGTTGATAAATTGGCCTTAAATAAGCATTAGTTATTGATATGTGAATAATAGTGTGGCAATTAACTGCGTTTGTTACAAATCAATAATCGATTTGATTGCAATCGAATTGCAGCCATAGCATCGATACTTTGCGGAAGGTGACTGATGGAACTATCGGATAACCATCGATAGTACGTAGGCTTATCGGTATTGCCATCGATAGAACTGCAGCCAAACCGCAGCAGAACAACAAAAAACATTTGTTACATTTATAAAAATGGTTGCTGCTCGGTATCAACGTCAAGCATCCTCCGTTTAAACAGTTTAGATAGCAACAAATCAATTGGCCTGTGTAGTCCCAGCCTTTGGGCCGGATTGTGCATTTAACCCTAACACAATATTGCAACATTTTCACAGTTCAGGTGAGTGAAATCATACATATGTATGTGTATCTGTATGCCTGCATATAAATGTGTGTATGTGTGAGCGAACATATTTTGGAGCCGCAAGTTTTCCGACATTTGGCCAAGACGTTGAAGGACGCATAGCTTGAACTAGTTTTTCGCACTTAAGCAATCACATGTGTCACGTTCCAAAGCAAAACCTTGACCGATCTCCCGTCCACCGTGTGCACCCCCCCCCCCACCCCCCCACCCCCCCACCCCCCCCCACGGCACACACGGTCAGCGCTTCTTAGTCACACATGAGACGCTGGTGAGGCACAGCCAAGCAGCGCATAAAAATAGTCATTCATCGGCCAATTGGCGAGAGCATCTTGAATAAACATTAATAGCACTTTCGCTGTGAATTTCAACACAGCACGCTCTCTGTCTCCCCATCTCTCACGGAATATCCATACAATATAGTCGACTATTCATTGAACAATTCGTCTAGGTTGGGGACTATAGACCTGCCGGGTGGGCTACCCGTCACTGCGTCACCGGTCAGAGCCCTGAGCCCTTATAAACTACTTACTCACGCGCTCGCTTATTCGCATATTTTTGTTTTTGTGATATTGTTATCAACAGTTGCTGCTAATGCCAGCTGGGTGCGTTTGTTATTGTTATCAGTGCTGCGCCCGCGACCAACAACTGCATCCAGTGTGCGATTCGTAGCGCACCCAACTGCCCGGCTGGCTATTCGGCAGCGATCGAGACCCACTCGTGCACTCTGTGGCGCCAGCACCAGTTCGTGCCGCAGCAGTGGTCAGTACTCGAGCACGCGTGAAACGATGTCGTTGCGTTGACGGCGGTTCCACAGCGCACAGAAGAACTCGGGAGCAATCAGACGGTGTGTGTGTGTGTGTGTACGTGTGTGCATAAAAAAGATAAATTATATATATGCAAGTACACATATATATTTTTAATCCTCCCCATATAAGTATATGTGTGTGCGCTTCAAATGGAGTTTATCGTATAACGTGCGAATCCCCTTGCAATTAGTCTAAAAATAGAATCCATTTGAAATAGATTGCTTTCGTAATAACTACAGGGAGTACACAGAACTGCATAATTTGAGTCTCTACATAGAAAGCTGCGACATGACTCGAACTCGATCGATGTGCGTGCATGCATGTGTGTGCGCGTGTTTGTGTGTGTGTGTGTATGTGTGTACTATATATCTGAGAAATCGGAACTCTAGCTCTTTGGCATGTGGGGCTTGCTATGTGTGTGCAGACCCAAAAACTTAAAATGTAGCGAAATAGTTTTAAAAATAGCAAAACTATATGCAAAAATAAAAAATCAAGAAAAATACACACACTTATCACATTATTCAGGTCTGGCGAAAAACATAAAACTCTTCGTGTGCGCCAGACGTTGGGCTAATTTCTGTAAAAATCTCGTACACGTCACGCCCAAACCCAAATGTGTGGGTTGTGTGGGGATGGGGATTAGCGTCAATGTAAATATTGATGAGAATTCTATGCGTCTCAGATATTGGATAAACAGACATAGGCATAGATATATATATATGTATGTATGTAGGTTCATGTTGGCTGTGCAGTGTTTTTTGACTGCGCCTTTGTTACGTTTCGGTAACGAAAACCTTCGCATTTACAAATAGCCAGATTGTATCTGACAGATACTTGTGCTCCTGCTTTGAATATTTGTTTTTCTTTTTATTTTGTTCCGTCAATTTCTGTGCTCTTGTCGCCGTCGTCGCCACTTTTTATTTTTAGACGCACAATTTTTTTTTCTATTTTTTTTTCTTCTGTTTGCGTATTAGCATTTTTGGATTCCACTCTTGCGTACCAGCACTTGCACATATATATTTTTTATTTATACATTAATATATCATATAAATGCTTGCGTTCATCCAACATGTGTTTGAAATTGCAGCTCGTTTGGGTTTATCTTTTGGCCAGAGCACTTGGCACAACGCGCCTCTCCTGGTCCCACCTCGCCTCGTCTCGTCTCGATTGCAATGTTTGTGCCTATTTTTATAAATTCAAGTTGGAAAAACATTGCGCATTTCGTATATACTAATTGCTTTGGACATTTAATTCGACTGTGAACGCATTTGCGCAAGTTTTCCGGTAAACATAGATTTTTACCAATTTAGCCAGAAAGTTTTCATTTACATTCCTATGTGCGGGGCTTATGAGAAACTTCTTAGAACCACGAGAGTTTTTTTTGTTTAGTGAACGTTATCAGAAATAGATGTAGATTGAAGGAAACAGCTGAGCTTGATGTTGCCAATTAAGTTCTTGCTAGACAATAGACAATAGAACATATCATATCTAGCAGCTTTATGTGCGTTCGATTTTTATATATATGAATTAGTAAAATTTTCCAACTGTCAGCTGCTATTATGCGCTGTCAAATCTTAAAGGCAAAACACATTAAAGCTTTTCCAAAATATATTTTCTAATTTTTCTTATACATTTATTGACTTACTGCTGTGCGCGCCCCCAAAAACTGACGTTCCGTTCGTACATTTTGCGCATTGCGGCCAAATGTCATATATATATAAATATATTGAATATATGTATCTGTATATACATAATTATGGCACTATATATATTGTAGCATTTCCGTTACAATGTCGGCTATCGAGTCGCCCGTCGTTGCCCAACAAAGAAAGCAACAGCAATCGCCTTGGAATGACATTTGTTGGAGCAATTTATGCGGCAATTATGACGCTGTTGCTGAAAATTCAGACGCAGCTGAAATATGGAATATCGGCACTTCTAGAAGCTGCCTCCTCCGGCCGCAATTTGTTTATAAAATTCCGTACAATCTTAGTCATGATTCTTGCTTTTTTTTTGTGTGCCCGCGTACAAATAAGGCGCGAAAAAAGCAAACAGCAGCAGGCAATGGGATTTTGGTTTATTTTCGAATTGAGGTCTACGGTGGGTGCTGGGGCATTGAAGGGGATGGGGCAACGGGTGGGAGCAATGAACATCTCATGTGGGCTGGCTTCCTTGTTTCTCTGTGGCCGTTGTCAAGCAGCTTCTAAAAATGAAATGTCAGTAGTTTTTTTCCATTATTTTTGTCGTTTTTATTTTTTATTTGTATATATATATAATAAATATATATTGTTTTTTCAGGCATTTTTTTATATGCAATCGTTCAAAATTTTTATTTATATCGCAATTTTTTTTAATTTTAATTTTCACAGGCCTTAACCCATTTGGTTTGCAACTTGCCCCCAGGACTAGGACATGGCTGAGCAGGACAGCACGGATAGTACACAGTGCGCCGTCTTTGACCAAACGCCTGGCTCACAACAAAAGAAAATCAACATCGTTGTGCGCTCCCATTTTACGGTAAAGCACGTCATTGCACTGATTGGCACACAGTTTGCCTATGGCAAATTCGAGCTGCTGCTACAGCCGCATGGCGAGAAGGATCTGGTATGTATTTAATGCCAAGTCATTCGGCCGCCCGCTCTTACTAATGCATTTTACATGATTTAGGTTAATTTGAATGCGCTGGACAAGGAGCTGCTTTACGACGTGCCTGGCTTTGAGCCTCAGCTGAAGAATAACCTGGTGCTGCTGCCAGAGGGCACCTGGGACGGCAATGTGACCAAACGCTATGAGTTGACCATGAAAAAATCCGCTTCGACTCTCAGCAAGCAGGCAAATTCCGCGGATAACATGGCAACGACAACCGCAACGACAACAGCAAAAACCGGTGAGAAAAAGAAGCGGGTAACAACAGGCGAGAAAAAGAAAAAATCGCCAAGCAAAACCAAGACTAGCGTTAGTCCCACTGAATTGACAATTGAGTCAGCGGCAGCAGCACCAGCAGCATCAAACACAGCCACGCCCACAACGCCCAGCAAGGTCAGCACAAAAGTGAAAACCAAAGCCAGCGAAAGCAAGAACAATATTGTGAAGAGCAAGGACCAAGTGGATGAATGCGTGCAGCTGCCAAAAGCGCCAAGTACCTGCGCCACAGACATAGCTATTGATGAACTAACCAAAGTTGAAATAACCGAGCAGCTAAAGCAGCAGTTGCCACAAAATAGGATCCTCATATCGCCCGTCGATGATGTAGCTCCAGAGTTATTTAATATAAGTCCCGTCTCGGAAGCTGAACAACTGTCTGACGATGATTTGGCATTGGGCGCCTCGGCCAGTCCCACATTGATGGGTCCAGCCTACGAATTTGGCAACGCCGGACCCACAGAGAGCGATCTGTTGGCTGGAACTGAAGCTGGCACCGATGCACTAGCGGCCATCGCTGGCAATGATAAAGTCGAAGAGGATGATAGACAGGAGATGGAATATTCAAATTTCTTTGGGCGCAAGTACGGCGGCGATGAGGTGCCCGCCTGGCAGCGCATCAATACCAGCGCCTCAGAATTTGTGGCCTCGGCCAAT